AGAAAAAACAAGTGCTGACCACGCATGTTAACAGACCTTCTATGGACTTTCAATCACTCGACATACAACACCTTGATGAAGATCATCTTCATCGCCTCCGCCGGATACACAATTTACCTGATGATGAATGACTTTAAGCCAACGCACGATCCAAACATAGACACTTTCAAGGTTCAGTACCTGATTGGTGGATCGGCGATTCTGGCAGTTCTGTTTCCATATAGGTGGATACCATCAGAGGTATTTGACCCACTCATTTAAACGGGGGGATTAGGGTGTCAGATTTCGTAGTCTCTCGAGATCGCGGCGCCGGTGCGATTAGTTCCGGTGGCCCTGATACTGCCGTTTCTTCACTCCCGTGGGTGAATTGCTGGTAGTTTCGAAAGTTTTGAAAGTGCCAGGCTGATGGGTTTATTTTGGGTTACCCTCTCGGTAGATTCTGTGGACCTTTAGTATCTGGCTCGAAAGCGTCGCCATTCTCCCTCAACTTTTTATGGTTCAACGAACAGGCGAAGCCGAAACTATAACGACTCATTACCTATTTGCGCTGGGTGCATATAGGGCCTTGTATATACCGAACTGGATCTACCGTTATTTTACGGAAAATTGGCACGTCGATCCCATCGCTACGTTGGCTGGTATCATCCAAACAATCCTTTACTCGGATTTCTTTTACATCTACTACACCAAGTATGATTGACCCTTTCCATTCGTACCTTTCTTATCCCTTTTGCCCCACGTACCCTCCACCCCACGTACCCCTCCGTACCCCTCCAACCTTCCCCTGAATACATACTTTCGTATCAAACGCCCTGTCGATCATCGGTCGATTGATAGGTTAAGCTTTTGCAACAAGACTAATGGCCGTGCTTTCGCAAATCAACAGGGTGTTTAAGGGTAAGAAGTTCGAGCTTCCGGTTTAGAATACCGTGAGTGTGGGTCCGCGCTCCCACTCCTGAGGCTCGCTTGCTTGTTTCCGCGTAGTGTGTGTGCTGTTTCTTGGAACGAACGTGGTATGGTAGCATGGTGTGTGATAGAATGTCAACTGGTGGGAGAATCAATAAAGTTTAGGGAGTGAACAGGGATACGAAGCTAGAAAAAAACGGCGGGGAAGAAAAGGAAGCAGCAGATTCAATGAAAATAAGAAAAAGTAAAAATAAAAACACTTTGCTGAAACTGCTCTGCGCATGCGCTGCGTGCGGTCGCGTTTTACCAGGTGCCATGCACCAAGTTTGGAAATAGATCAAGAGGCGAGGTGGGAGAGCCCGGGGTATGGCGCGCCGAGAGATTTGACGGGCAGACAAGAGGGTGTGCAGGCACTGTATTTTTATGTCCGATGGCTGGTTCAGGCCCAAAATGCGGGGAACTAGAGGGTGTGGTGCCGGCTTTTGCACACTGCGAGGCACTACATACAGACCGCTGCCTTTCTTTGGGCTTCGGAACACCTAAAAAAGAAAAGATTGGGGAACCAAAAAAATTAGTTGCAGTAACTCAGGGGGTCATGCTTATTTTCTTTTCTTTTGCTGTGCACCGCGGGGCGCCTTGCCATGGGAAGGAGGAACGAGGATGAGCTGTAATGCTTCACTTTTGGAGTACATGATATTTTTCTTTTTCTGCTCTGTTCAGGGCTTTTTTTTCTTTTCTTGGGGGGTCGGTTTTCGAATTTTGGGTTTCAGTGTCTCGTAGGGGCGTGCTTGATCTTGTCTGGAATGAAGGCAGAAAAGGCTGCGACGAAGCATGTGAATTCCATTCTCTCGGTATCAAAAGGTAAGTCTGAATGTGATATGGCCATGGGAAAACTAAGTATGTAACTTTTTTTTTTTTAGTTATCGGATCCTCAGAAGGGGTTCAATGCTTCTAGAGAAAAGCAATCAACTGGGGGTAGAAGTAGGCTACCCGCATTGATGTACTCAACCGTTCCTTCCGTCCCAGGGTTACGAGTAATGAGAATCAGATGAAAGGAAGCAAAAATAAAAATAAAAAATAAAAAAGAGATCAAGCCCGGGTTCAGAAACCGGGAAGAAGCAAATAAAAAGTATCAAATATTTAGTTGCCAACGAGGTTCTGGATTACTACTAGTATTACTAGAGTAGCAAGTATACCAAATATTACTTGCCAAGGCTCCAAAGATTCAGTAGCGAAAATAGGTAATCACACAACAGCCAACCACAGTGCTGTGGACGTTCATCCTATCTTTCGGACCGGGGAAGAGGGAAGGGCACAGACGGGGAAAGGTGATAGGGCTGCCTGTGTCTCTATTTGGTTTTGGTGGTCTCGGCCCTTTTAGCGGCCCTGGCGGTGGGGAGAACCGAGAAGGGTTATGCCATGGTGCTGAGCTGTACTCTACACAACGGGCAAGCCAGCACAATTATGCTCCTGGTCCGATTTCCAAACGGTTACTCGATGTCTGATGCTGCTGGTTTAATGATGGACAGGGGAATAAAAATAAAAAGCGCCATTAGCGAGCAGGAAGGAATCCACTGCCGTCGATCATCGGTAGGCAACAGAGACGAAAAAAACGAAGGAAGAACGGGCAGCCGAAAATTTGTCGGGGATTGAAGAGGCGAAACGGGCTCGTTATCCACCAGGGGCGCGCGAAAGCGGCCCCCGGGGGGGGGGGGGGAGCCACAGCTCATGTATCTATGCGCACAATCGATCCATCTAATCCAGCCGCATGATTTGCATGTGAGTTGAAAGATAGAGAGAGGGCTTGTTTCGTGGTTTGAAGAAGAAGCCAGATCTGGATAACTATGTGTTATGTATTTATGTAGGTGTGGATGAGGTGGTGTGTGGTGTTTAGGTGGTGTGTAAGGCATGATGTACGTGTGTATGTAAGTAGTTAAACAGAAAGACAGGATGCGAATTAGACCGGGAATGGGAAAACTATGCGTGTGTGGGGAGGAAGCCTAGATACTCCGATTAGGGATCTGGTGAGAGTTGGGGGTTGTATAGTGGGGGTAAGAATAAGAGTAACAGGTGAGTGAAAAGGTAGGTGCTTTCTTACGAGATGAAGAAAGAGAAGGCATTTGATGTCAACAAAGGATAAACAGAGCAAACACTCCTTTGATAACCTGGCAATTCCGAGATCTGAAATATGTGGATATCATCGTGCGTGGGAGGGACCTTGACTCGTAGTGTGGGGAGATTAGACATGCAATGAACAAGAGGGGAGAGGAAGAAACCGATCGAGTGTTTTGAGACTTTCTGAGCGATTGTCACGATCTCACTGGAGACAAGGTTTGTATAAACGAATCCAATCCAGAGAGGTTTGTGACATTATAAAGAGAGTAAAGATATGGTACGTGTGTGATGGTACATTCAGGCTATCGAGAGTGAAAACTTTCCTCCGAGATCGCAAGTTTTCATTTCTTCAGATCTTAATTCGATTCTCAGTCTGATTCGCTCGCTTGTCTATCGTAGAAGAGGGGTGTGAAAAAAAGGAAAACCGTTGAAAATTGAAGTAAGAACTTCTGGGCTTTTGAAAACGACATTTGTCACTAGAAACCTCAAGTTACACATGGTCAAAATTTGGTAAGAGGTACCTATAGGTATTACTTGCCTGGTGCAATGAGTTATGTATCTACACACAGGTACATAAAGTGCATACTTCCTAATTATACCAAGTAGAGTACTCCGAAGTACGTGTAGGGCGTAATTCTCATATCGTGCTGTTCCAGGTTACGAAGCTGTCCAAAATGGAATAACGTCGATCAAAATTAAGACGTGGACAAAACGTCATGTTTGTTGAATCTTGAAAGGTCACGAAATTGGAATTGTGACAGTTCAGGGAGGACCGTTGATCGTCCCCAGCCGAGTCACGGACGCCGATTCAACTACACCACACTAATCTCCATGATACTCCCACTTCCCTCTCTCTCCAGCGAATCCGGAGGTTTGTGATGTGACGGTGATACGTACTCGGATATCTACTCGAATACTCTACCTACCTCGATTAAAAACTTTATTGCAACATGCACTGGGAATCTATCGCAATAACTGGTATCATGGCAAAGAGACCTCTCTAGCTACGTGAATATCTGCCGTGTTCATGAAACACTCAGCTCAGGTCTGAAATGGCCATCAACATATCGGGATTCCACTCCTGAATGAGAGTCCTGGCGCCGGGAAGCCGAGTGATGAAAGTAAGACTCGGTGTTCAAATTTTGGAAAAGAAGTACCTATGTACATGTAGGTACATGTACTCTAGCATCAATAAGTTTTACCTCCACGCGATATGTAGAGCACCAAAGGACCCCACTCATCCCGCCAATCCACAACCCACCAGTCCACACCCCCCCGTTCAACCCATGCCCCAAATCCTGCAGACAGCACCGGCCTGCAGCCCACCACCAACCCTCCCACTCCCATCCCACCCTCCACTACGCCCACTTCAATTCCTCCCGTGAGGCCAAGCAACGTACTGTACACGCACAGCACGAGCACCGAAACAGCATCCTGAATCCCTCTGCTGCAGAAAGCTCGTCCGCTGTAAGTAACCTGTAGACTAGCCTCTTCTCTGCTCGCTCGCCTGTTGTGTGACAGTAGAACATCCTCCCACCCACTCTCTACTCGGGGAATAAAAATAAAAATATACCCATTCCTTCACGCTCGGTTCTCCCGATCATCGTACTCTACTTATCGATAGTTGGCCATCCATCCATTATCACTGATACTGTTATTAGGTCGCCCCAACTTAATAGCTGCCCTATTTCCCGCTTGCTCCTTCCCTCTCTCCCTCTTCCTCTCCTCATACTCAACATCATTACATTATATACTCGAGAGAAGTCCAGGCTCATTCTTTTTATAATCCTGCCTATATACCTACTACATATCCACCCTCATCCTCAACCATCTTCACCAACAAATACATTAAAGCCTGTCCTCTGCCTCTGCCACTTTGAAAGTCCCATCGCACTCGCTTTTTAAAGTTTCGCCAATATAGTCGACAAGCATCGGCCAGCCCCACGCTCGTTTAGCTAAAAACACTAACTTCAACAATCATGATGAACACCATGCCAGCTATGGACCGTCATCTCCATAACCTTTCACAATTCGACTTCACCCATCAAGCCCGTTTTCACTCTAGCCTGATGTACAATCGCGCTCCCCCACCTGGAAGCCTCATCATGCCTACCCCACTACAATTTTCGCCGAACCCTCACCAACAGGCCCATACCCACCACCACAACATCCACCACCCCCAGCAGCACCACCACCACCACCACCACCAGCAGGCGCAGCAACAGCAGGTGAGACACAATTCGTCTGGGCAGTGTGACTAGAATTTTTGAGAGAACAGCCACTGGCTCAGCGTAACCGCTTTCCTACCTAGTGTTAACGAGGTTTTGGCAGTGGTAGATAATACTACTGCCCTTACCTCCGGCTGCATATGGAATGTGGTGGTTACAGTGGCTATTCTGTCGAAGATCCTGTTCCGGTGTCGTCTATTAAAAACGGTTGTTAACATGGCTTTTTAGGATCAGCATGCGGTTCTCATGAACTCAAGTCCCAAACAGCAGCAACACCTCATGCCTACACCTACATCTGAGTTGGGCAACCAGTTTGATGAACAACCACAGAACATGGAAGGTTTCCCCACAGCCGCCGAATTCGAGAACCTTCTGAACGAATACATCCTCTCGCTTTCCCCCAAGAAAAGAGACAAGGCTCTCATTCCCCAGAAACGCTACGAAAACATCCGCGCCGTTCTGCGCGACCCCAAATGCACCACAATTGAGTCCGCTCAGTTCAGATTTTGGGCCAAGAAGATGTTCCGTCTGGTGCAGCAGGAGGATGGCTACAATGACGTTGTTTGCCACGAGGGCAAGCCGGTTGCCGTGCGGGAAGACCTGTACCACGTCTTGACAACCTCTCACGGACAGGCGCAGCACGGTGGACGTGATAAGACCTCTGCTCAGGTCCGAAAGAACTACTCATGGTAGGCCGCTTAGTTGGGATTCTAACTATGAGTAACCTGGCTAATAATTGCGCTTAATAGGGTACCAAAGGAACTCATTGCACGTTTTGTGCGCAACTGCCCTAGCTGCACTCTCCGCCGTAGCAGCCCCCTCGAGTTCTCTGCTGCTAGCAACGCGAATCGCATGAGCCAGCAGACGATGGAATCTTGTGCACCTTATCTCACTAGCCCAGCCAGTTCCACCGGGAGCCCTCCTCAGAGGCACGTCATGAACTCGCCTTCAAACAGCAGCACCTCTTCAATGAGCCAGTTCCAGCAGGTGGTTTCCTCAGCTGCCTCTTCACCTCTTAATGCCCCGTCAAGCCAGGACAGCTACGGATATTCATTTCCTTCGGTAGTAAATATGCCATTGGACCCGCGCATGTACACAACACCCAGTCCTAACGACCTCACGAACTGAGACGAAGAAAAATATGCGAATATGAGCTAATAAAGAGAAGAGAGAGACGGTTCAGTGCTGGTAGCGGCTTTTCTCAGGTTCAGGATTTTGTCGATTTTGGGTTATGCCATTTATGAATTTGTTAACGGGGTTCTTTGGGGTTCCTTGGTTGTTGTTTTTCACGAAACAATTTGGGCTATGTTTTTTGATTATTGATTGTTTTGTCTCTGGGTTTTGTCTTTTTCGTTCAAGAAAACATATGGCTGGTTATTTGGCTTGGATGGGCGAGCGGTGGAGGTAGTTACCAATGATTTCTTGTTTTTATTTTTGGGGCCCTCTTGTGTTCTTGTTTTGTGTGGGTTCTACTTCTATTATCCTCGCTCGAAGCTCTTTCGACGAGCGAGGGAAGGGTTCCGAGACCCTGCCTAATGCTTTGGGGTATATTTCCTGTAGTATTCCTCCTCAAGAAGGTGTTGGTTGTTTTTTTCTATATTCTCTTATGTATATATTCCGTCGCGGCTTTCTTCTTGTTTGAGTGGGTGGTTTCTTATCTGAGGTTTCTGTCGTAACGGCGAGACTACCGTGGCCAGATTGCCAGACAAATTAAATCATGTTTCCGTATTTTCATGTTTTTTCTTTAACTCTCTTTTTTTTTCATTTCATGTATTGGCCTGCTGTGTAGGCCAGGACAGGGTGGACCGGTCAATAATTGAAGATTTGTACATTTTTTGCTGATATCAACCCTCTTATTTCTCAGGCCCTTTTGGTTCTGTTGCTTGTCTTATTTTAGGTTTCATTTCAAAAACCTCGATTAAATCGGATCAATAGATTTGCTCCTATCCAGTTCGTATCCACTATTGCCTAAGATATCGCGTGGGATGCATGGCCGATCCGAGTGCCAGCCAAGCAAAGGAAACCCGTATGAAAAGTAAAGCACCCCCGAAACAGACATTTACTGCGGAATTTTCGCTATTCAAGTTCTAGACCTGACTGCAGCAGATCAGAGGAGATTAAAGTAGCGAAAACTAACTGTTGTTAGGAGGGGCGTAAAAAAAAGCCCACCAAGGGCCATGCACTCGATCGATCAAATCGCGAACTTTGCAACCCTCGCCTTCCCCAGCAAAACCGACCCTTTCTTGACGGAGCTCTGATTTTTTATTTCCTTTCTGGTTATGGACTTTCCCTATCCTACTTTCGTTGTCGTCGACGGTTGCCATGATCCTGTTTTTTTTCCCCGGTCGATGTTGAAATCGGTGAATTTGATGTTGAATCAATGATTTTTTGGCTTTGCGATATACAGTCACACCTACCTTTAACCTCACCCCATCCTAATACAGCAATTGGGTAGAGTACATATCTGCTACTCCAGAGTTAGTAGAGTAAGGTAAGGTAAGGTAAGGTATGTAGTGTAGAGTAGAGTAACCTAAGCCTACCTGTCGGTCATACATACCCCTACTGCTGCTGCTTGCTTGCTGCTGCTGCACTGCTGAATGAAGTGAACCCCTGTACCCACACACGCACACGCCCCATGTGGGGTGTGCCAGAACTTCGGGATAATAAACTAGATGGCCGTCTAGATCAAGATTATCGCTCTGTATCTTGAAAATCAAGCACCCCCCGGTGAATTCGGTCGGTCGCTGATATTCCTCATTGCCCTGAAATGTGCGGTTTTTTGTTCTAGCAGAGACCCCCTGCCATTACTCCATTGGGGGGAGCTCCTCCTTCATCTTCACCTATTGCTGCGCCTTTTGGGAGAGGAGGGGGTGTTTGTATATGTAGAGTAGGTACATGTACATACATGGAGCTGTATCGCCTATTCTCGAAAAACCCCACGACCTGGCATTGACGTTTTCAAATATTTTGTCTGTCTGTCGCTTTCGCTTAGTGCACCTAAGTCGCCGCATCGAGTAAGCCGCTAGCTACCCCTGGCTTCCGTTCCGCTACTTGGGTTCTTGATAGGTCGGTGTTAGGTTAGGGTTTACTAAGGTACAATACCGTACTGAGTGTGTGTGTACCTATAGTACCGTAGTTACCGGCCGCGCGCGCGACATCATCTCACTCACTACGGTACATCCAGGTACATGGTAGTTATGAATGGAGGATTTCCCTCCCCTCCCCTTTGGCTGTATGTAAACATGTCTGTTGCTCAGCGGTCCTATGTATTCTACCCCTGCGTACATAATACCTACCTTAGTCCTTACCACCGTTTTCCGTTGCCTTTGCTTTGCTTTGCCTACCTGTCCTGTGCTCCACCACGATGCATGATGCAGACGCGACGCAGGGTAACGTAGGCCGGGAAGTGAGTGGACGAGCGAGTTGAGAGGGTGACTCTGTTCTGGTACTGGTGGGTGGGAGGGGTTATGAATCGGGAGCGTGCCCTCTGCCTTGTGGTATGGGTGTGGGGGAGATGGCCAATGGCGTTGATTAGATTTGCTCGGGGGTGCGGACAAAGCAGCAGATTGATATCAATATCCTCGACCCAGATAGGACCCCCAACGGTTTGCGAGAACGAGCCAAAACCACGAAAATAGAAACAAGATTGATTAAGCTTTGGAAGGGAGACCCGCCCTCCGTTACACCCACCTCTAAAACAGAACGAGGGTGGTGTTCTGGCTTTCTGTGGGGGAAAAGGGAACTTGACTTGTTTGGGGATTAATATTGGCTGCCCCGTTTCACTATCTAGGGTTAGGGGTGGGCTCTTTTGTTTTGTTTTGGGCCCTCACAAAAACCGGACCAACCAGAGTTATCACATCGGTTCGATACCAGAGGCTTGTTTGGCTTCTTGGTGGTTCCGTTTATCCGCCACCCTCGCTCACCCTTGACAGGCTGGAAGGGCAGAAAAAGAGGCAGAAGAAAAGAAAGTCGAAGAAGAAGCTAATTCACGTCTCAGTGGTGGTTGCGTGCCAAGGCTTTGCAATTAATAGAGTAATCCAGCGAAACCCTTACCCTGGTGCAAAACCAATGCACTCAACACCACGGAGAGTTAGAGATATCGAGCGGAAATACCAAACAGACTCAGCTGTCTGTGTCGACCCAACTCAGTCAACGGGCTTACTTGCTGTTCGAGAGAGGAGAAAAATAAAAAGTGTAAATCTTTGCCCGATACAGTTTCTCTTACTCATGAATTTCCCTTTCCTTCGGCTCAGGTGGAAGGTTCAAAGCCCACCACCGCCTTCTCTGATTTGCTACAAACCACAACCCCAACCAACCGCAAAAGTGTCTGGAGCCTGAGTTTTTTTTGTTGGACATCCTCCAATTTTCTATCCTATGGTAAAAGGGTTTTAGATACATCTGTTACCGTAGTTCCTGCGTTATCAGCGATGCCTAGGAGCCTTTTTTTTTTTTTTTTTTTTTAATTTCTCAGTGAAGAGTAGGGCCCGGTTAAATCCTAAAAACCCAATCCCATGAGGTGAATAACTAAATCGCTATCCAGAATCAGGATAGAACAGATAAACAACCTATCTACTCTATCCCAGAACCTCATTTTAAGTATCTACAGCAGTACTAGCTAGTTTTCCCCCACGCATCCCATCGTACTTTGCTCCCCCTCTTGCGATCTCTCTGAGGCACGCGGTACAAGCACTCTATCTATCTAGCCTCCTTCTCCAGGGCGCAAAGAAAGAAAAAAAATAGAGGTGTTGCATCCAGTAGAGTAGAGTCACAGCCATCATCAGCATCATCATTCATCATATCACCTTACTACTCCTCTATTCAACTGTTCTTGATTTCACATCCTCCCTTTTTCCCCCAATCCTCGCCAAGACCCAGCTGGCTGTCAACGTAAAGCTCGCCTACTGGTTGGTAGGGTAGGGGGATTTTTCACTTTTTTGAGCCAATCACGCTCCCCTGAATACTGATCAGCGCGCAATTATTAGCGGTCGGTGTTGTTTGGTTTCCGATGGAATCGGGATCGGGGCGCGGAGATCGGTCAGGCTAGCTGGCTGTTGGCGTTGTTGCGGTGCGGTTCGTGCAGATTTCCCTTAACTCCCTGAACTGACACTGGTCCACTGACTGCTGCTAAGATCTAGACCCTAGGTACTCTAACTTACCCTCCCTCCCCTCCGCCTCCACCTCCACGGCTAGAAGGAACCATGGGGGTGAGGGTAGGGAAAGATAAATAAATAAATAAAAATAAATCTAAAATAGAATAATTTTGGCTGTTCCTTTCTTCCACACGGATAAGATCAAGAAAAGAGGCAGAAAAGAAGGGCTAAGCCAGGAAGCTAAGGGGCGTGATCGAATCACTGGCCATCATTCCATCCCATGGAGCCGGCGGACGAACAACAACAAAACAACAAACCAGCACTATAAGCACCCTGCGGATGGGGGGCTCAAAAATTGTAGATGTTCGATCATTACCAGTACCACGATCTATCATACCAAACACAACCACTGGACACCGGACTTCTCTCCCTGTTGTTTCGGGATCTTTTTTTGTTTTCTAGCGTGGGGTAGCTCAACTTGCAAGTATGGTCTGACAAGATAGAGTGTGCGGGGCGGGGGGAAGAATCGGGTACATGATATCAATCAATAAACCATAGCGGGGGGGGGGGGGGGAGGAGGAGCAAGAGGAGGAGCAGCAGGAGGAGCAAAGAAAGGAAGATGGAGGGTCTCAGGTATCACGAGCGCCCATCGGATGGTTCTAAAGAGATCTCATCTCCGCAGACCTGTTTTGCTTGCTTGCTAGGGTGGTGGGGGGAGGAACGTAAAGTACCTTAGCTACGTCCTCAGTCTTCAGATACCTAGTAGAAAAAGAGTGGGGTTACCCTGCCCTGACGTGTAGGGCGGTACGGTATTGGGTGTTGTTTCACCGACAAACAACCTCACTAGAGCACTATGCAGATAGAACGCAACAGAACACAGTAACGGGGGGTTTGGAGGGGGCCAAGATGATGCCGAGTTTTCCTGTGTGCGCTTTATGTGTTTGTATCTACAGATAGACACATACATAAGTGTTTAGACTGCAATAGGAACGCCTCATTGCTTTCCACTGACCGGAGAGAGGAAGGAACTTCCCTCCAATCAATCATTGCCCTTTTCGACCTATTGTTTAGTTACTCTACATACTCTACTCTACTTCGAACATGGCCTATTACTTTTCTTTCTCTTAGGGAACGAATGAACGGCATAATCTATTCCGAGTACCGCGTACGAATAAAACATACGTGTCAATTAATCATTACTGGTCGTACTATTTGAGACAAGCGTAAACAAACAAATAATCCAACTACATGACATTGAACCACCCGCAGCGGGCCTAGCGTTCCATAGGCCGGAAAAGCAAAATATCAACGCTGTGGAACGTCGTCCATCAGCTAACCCTTGACAGTGAAGAACACAAAGAAAGAAAAAAGGGCTTAAGGCAATAAACTTCGTCTTGGGCATCTTGAAGCAGCAGGCACGGCAGCCAGCCTTCCCGGCGGCGGCGGTGTGTTTAGCAAGCCGCAGCCGCATCCGCGGACGCCGTACATGACACTCTAGAGTACTCTATCGCCTTAATCTTGTAGAACCCCACGGGGAAGAAGGAATATTAAGAATATATCGTGTACTCTAGTGTATTATTAGTTTTCTTGATTGAAGATGGGGGGTCCCTGGCAGTCAATCGTGTTACGTATTTGTGGGGGAGTACTAGTATCGTATTCTAGAGTAGGTACAATAGCACTTGATATATGTGGGGTGTGGGGGGGGGGGGGGGCTCTTGTAAGGGAGTGTTACAGCTGAGGCACGAGACCAGGTAGAGTACATACGTCTTTCCCCCACATCTCCCCCCCCCCCCTCCCCCTTTTTATTCCCCGGAAAATGTGGTATGGTACCGACATTTTGACCCAGCCATCTGGTGGATCCATCCGCCCCGACATGCGCCAGAGCTAATCTTGCGCTCACGCTCAGGTCATTTCAGTGCTATTCAATCCTGTCCGCCCCAAGAAATGGTCCGTGAGTATTACTCTCTTTCCCCGGATTACAATGAATCTGGGACCGTTAGGAAGTGGAAAAATGGTAGCCGGAATCGAATCTGCATCTGGGTCGGGCCGTTAGAGGAGGCATTTCGTGGTAAGAATAGCTGGATTGAACATCGGTGTTTCCAGGTCCTAATGAAAACAAATGTCTCGGCGTGCGTAGTAGTACTAGTGTCAAATAGGACAATTCAGCACTAGTACAAGTCCTCTTGGGTCAAACGTTATGACAAGCCAGATCAGATCAGATCGCCAGTCACAAATAACATTGCTACATATCTACTTTTTTCTTTCTTTCCCAATCCATGCTTAGTTCTCCGTTCTCTTTACCTCGATCATGATCAGATTACCGCGATAATCCAGTAACTAATGTTTATAATGTCATTATGATAGAGGAACTCTGTCACCTAGGCCAGGTACCAATGAGTTGGTATTCGACCGCATACCGACGCAGCCAGCGAGTGAGTGAGACCCACAGAATTATATTACATACAAAAATGTTACGATCATTGATAAAGCTCCGGGAATGGTACCCATGGGCGGAGGAGTCGAGTAAGAGGAGGAGAGCCTCGAGGAAGATCAATTGCCAAAATTGTCCTCTTTTGCCTCGAAATAGTAGAGGTGCAGCCTGCAAAAGATCCAACGCATCCCTTTAGTAGAGCAAGTGCTGTTGACACTGAATCCCTTCCTCACGGCTTGTCAAGTCGTTTCTCCATGATAGGCTGAACAACAGATCTACCGCAGTAAGACCTAAGACGGCAGTGTAACCTGTTGAATCCTCTCGCTCACTCACTCAATGAAAAACAGAACGCCCACGTGGCTGATAATTGTAATAATAGCCGATGAATGAATATGTGGTCCCGTGGCAGTAGCTCTCCTCCCCCCAACCGATGGTGGCGTGTAAACTGCTTATGTAGAGTAAGTTATGCAGATCCTTTTCTCGTTTTCAAATATCCACGATTTAAAGCTGAGGAGTCGATCCATAGTGAAGTGAGGTAGCAAGGAGTTGTTCATAACGGCTGCTGCCTGCTACGGGAGGTGTACTGCATCGAAATGCGCTTGAAGACGAAGCTGGGCGGACATACACGAGACCCTCCCTCCCAGCGCGTATGTAGACTGATCAAGGAAATCTTCGGCAGCTGTCGGCGAAGCATCCGATTTGAAGATTTAGACTGGTGATACTGAGCTGGAGGTAGGTTGGCTAAATGTTCATCAGAGATCATGGAAATGATACTAACGAAATAATCATGACCCGAGAGCTGAATTATCCCCATGCGGATAGCCGCTGCGACCACGAACGTAAGTGCATCTCTTTCTCTACGACTGGCTTCCCTCCTAACGACAGCTAACTACCACCGATCAATAGATGGATGGCGTTGATCAGGGGGTGAATGTTATAAGAGATGAAACTCTTCCGTCGAACGTATTACACCAATCCACTGCTGCTTCTCCCCCCGCGTCGTAAGTGCCCGTTGTTTGAGAAAACCGCTGTTACGTTGACGCACAACTCGGTGTCGTGATCTTAGATGCTTGATTTGACCTCTCCGCCAAGCCTGCATTATCGACTTCCTAGTTATCTCTGTAGTACCCGAGCGAAATAGGAATTATTTTCTCGATACGATTCCGTCCCAGCCGTGATGCCAATGCTGAGCATGAAGGGAACTGTGCGGAATGTTGCGAGATATTGGAACAATTTCGATGATGCTGGAGGTGGTGAAGGGGGGAGGTAAAGATAGAGTGAGAGATAGCCAGTCAGGAAGTAGTATATGCCAAGATAAAACTGCCAAGCTCTGCGAATGCTTTATTAAACCTCGCCGGTGGGAGATGAGGTCAAGGGCATATGTGTTATGTTTGGGCCCACAGGCCCTGATCAGCCAAAATCTGCAGCATCTGGGGGCCTTGACCTAGCCAACCAATTAGGGACCACCGGCTTCATATCATTGGCCGTTTTAACAACATCGAGGAATATATGTTCACTATACACGTCAGTACAGTAGTTAACGGTGGGAGAAATTACACAGCATATGTACCGAGGGAACCGGAGGATGTGTACAAAGACGGAATGGACTCTTGGGTTTTTGCATTTGCAGCGGCAGCCTGGAATCCTCCGCATTACTTGTGCTTTGTTCACCTTACATGCATAGCGGACAAATATTCTGGGGGGGACTCTAGTGTCCATTCGGCTGAGCACACGGCCCGGACCATGTAGTGGTCCCATCTCCTCTTTGCCCAATTCCAGTAGAGAATATCGGTCACTCGAGCTGCATGGCATGATAGGCAATGCAATGCAATTGTCCACAGGAGCTTCCGGTTGTTAGCGACGCCCATACTGCTTCAATGGCTCTGATAGCGGCGGTACTAGATTGCATGCAGAATGCCACTTGTATGGATTCGTCAGTACGAAGAGGAATGAGCCGAGGATTGGCAATCTCAATTGGATCTCACTCACTTGATAGTATCGATAGTTGTAAATACGGAGAGGTGATTAAGCAAGGCAGAAAAATACGTTGAAGTTTAAGGTTAAGAATGACGTTTCTGGAATTCAAAGGCAGCATCGACAGTGGTCTCAGCTACAAACTCTTTCCAAACCTAAATTTCTTTTCCTTCACACAGATAACATTTTCCAAGCTGTAGTCTGAGAACGGTGACGTTTTGTATAATCTGGTGGCATTCCGGTCGTTTGGGGGGGGGGGGGGGGGAGAAGAACTTCTCGTGCACAAAAAACGGAAGTTTGGTCATTTCTGCAATGCCAAGAATAACTAAAAGTGATGTCAACCTGCTGCCTGGTTCAACTGATGGCCATGATGCGAATCCTAGACAACGCAGATACTGCCATCTAGGAAGATTCAGATCAGTAGTCTTTGGAGTTTCAAGCTTCTTACGGAAGCTGGCAGCTGGATAGTTGTAGTGCAAGTATATACTACGGTCGACTGCATGCGGTATGTTCCAATGCTAATTCTCATCTTTGAACCAGTTAAAATGCACGTTTTTGCCTATAGCAAGGCATATTATGAGTTGCCTTTAGGCATGCTGATACCCTATTGTCCAATTCAGAACCTGTCCATGGCGGTTGGGTTAAGAATCGTGGCAATGGCCACCTACTACCCCGTATTTCCGAGTAAGGCTCGAGTACCCGGGGTAGCAAGGTAAGGGATGTAGTAGCACAGACCAATTAGCTCAAAGTTATAATTGGATAGGAAAACTCCTTTACCACCAGAGAGCTCAGCTCCATTGGATCCTTATCGCCACTAGTTGAGGCTCATGAGTTTCAACGTCTATCACGGGGAAGCTTGTAAAAATTCCAATACCAATGTACCATTCAAATAATATCCTTATTAGTTCCACCACTGACTGAGGCCCCGTTTCACTTGGCCATCCAATAACTTGCTATATACTAAACTTGTCCCGGCTGCCCACCAGCGTCCACTGTTTCTTCCCCCTTTCCTTTCCTTCAATGACTAAATGAAAAATAGACAAACAAAAAAAGACATAAATTCATAATGGGTATAAAAGTATTCCAACCGTTCCGTTCCCACCCCGCCCATCCGAACCCCAAAGGAAAAACAAAGTAAAATAGAAGAGAAGAGAACGCAGAAGGGTTATCTCATATGGATCAATGCCCGAAAATACAGTAACCGTCCTCCTTCCTAAAGAATTATACAGTAAAAATAAAAATAAAAAAAATAGTGTACATTACAAATGAAAACCCTAGTCAGATAGTGACAAAGAGAAAACACCACCCAGTGTACAAAAGAATTTAAGGGAACGAATGTTGAGGTATTGTACCAGACATACCTTTCTCACCACATTTCTTGGCGTCACCCAATTCGCCGCGAAAGTTTAGATGTGCTCGTGGGGTGATGAATACCCCATGAACGTCTCTACCACTCTTTTTCTACCTCTCCAACAGGTCTCTGATGGCCCATTTGTTTTCCATCTTGGTGGCTTCGCCAGTTGAGATCCACCCATCGACCCTCTTGCGCCATCTATCCTCCTCTTCACGTTGTCTTCGGACGAACTCTGGACCAACGTCGAACTCTTCCCCGACAACGAATTCGCCATAACCGCCGCTCAATCTCGTTCCGCTTCTGCTACCCCCTCCAGCACTACCTCCACCAAATATCGGACCAATCGCAGAGTCCCCTCCATCACCACTGAACCCGTTACTTGTCATGTCGTGGTCCATCAGATCATCAAATCCTTCGAAAGGATCGTCGTTCTCTTCATCAGGGTCTTCATCCACCTTGAGCCAAGACATACTCGCAGGATCAAACACCATCCCTCCAACCACTTGAATTCCTAGTTTTGAGCCGCTGTGGTTGACGTTACTGATTAAGGCCGGTCGTGGGGGCGTGGGGATCTTTTCAATTTCGAATCCTTTGACTTCGTTTTCGTTTCCCTCCCATTTGAAGGTCTTAGAATTATATGTCATGCCATTAACCGCTGCGGCTGCTACATCGTGACAGCATGTTAGCCAACTGCATACCACCCAAGAAACCAGAAAATATGACGTATCGCAGATCGACGAGGCAGGGGCACGCAAGATTAAGCGAGAAACAATGATCGGCGGCTGAAACCTCGTGCAAAAAGAAATCGACAAATTCAAGCCTGGTACATATCGGTCTGGTATCAAATGTGATTGTCACAAAAACGCACGTACCTTTAGGTGGGTTGCTGATACTTCCCATGGGTTTGATGAGTTGTGGTTTCAGCTGCGGCTTTCGACGGCTTTTCGGGCTTGCATTTCCACGAGCGGCCACTTGTTGCTTCCATTGGTTTGTTCCCGTGTGGCCGGCGCCGGTATTTGTAATCCCCATCCTTTGCTCTCTGGCGTTTCGTGATGCTATTTTTTACCGGAAAAAAAATTAGAATTTAAACTAGGCAGAAATTTGGAGTAGGCGTTCAAACAATAGAAAGGGGGCTCTTACCACTTGTATCCCTTGCAAATCTTGGGACCTCAGCAAAACGGCTCGAGAGATCCCTCGATAGGTCAATCCTTTTTGCCGGGCTCTCCCCATCTTTTCCTGCATCTTTTCCGGATGCACGGGTGATTGGCACGCTTTGTGACTTTGTCGCTTTGGGCGCCCCTCGGCCAACAGGCGTCACTACAAATCGGTTTTCTGCCTTTGCGCTAGTTGGTAAGTCATCGAAAGTTTCCAATTCCGTTCCATCGCCGAAATTTCGTTTTCGTGTGGGCTGCCTTAGGGTTTCAATTGCAGCCGCTTGTCTTCGCAGGGGTTCCGGGGCGATTGTTGGAGTGCCTCTTTTTGTCTTGGACGATGCTATGGATGAGGAAGGGGAGTGATGTGGGGTTCGTTGTTGATGGCGGCTATTGGTACGTCTTTCGGCTGCAATCTTTTCCTTATATTCCAAGGTTTGTTGAGATATTTTCGCCGAGATATGATGGCTTTGCCGCACGGTGCTTCCGGCAGGCAAGAAAGGAGCAGGTTTCCTTTCACCAGGCGTCTTCGATCTTCCAACATCGTTCCTTCCAGTGGCAGTAGACCGCCCCCCTGCGCTTGATGGTGGCCGACCTCCGGTACTGCTTGGTGGACGTCCTACACTATTCCTACTCGCTGGTCTGCCACCACTATTCCTACTCGGTGATCTGACTGTGTTATTTTTCGGAGAGCCGGGGGTAGCCCTTCCGCCGATGTTAGGCATAGACCGCTTCATTCTCAATAGCTGGGCATTTGTTGTTGTCGGGGCATTTGTTGTTGTCGGCGCATTATCCTGTTGATTCTTTTCCTTCAATGCCCTCAACGATCCTTTACCACCCATTGACCTTTGTCTTTCATGAAATCTGGTATGTGGAACAGGCGGCGGTGGCGGAATGTTTGCTGGAACACCTTCAGATTTGGCTGACCATCTATCGAGATTACCACTATTATTGGACCATCTATTTCTAGGTTCTAGCCTTTTGTTCGCCAATGGATTCTGGTTTTCCCGCTCTCTCTCCACCACAGGTTCTAGGCTCGGTATTGGGGGTGCTAGAGTGGGATGTCCGTGGCGTAATCGGTTTCCAGTCACCCCAGATAAAGAAGTCGTAGGCGGTGGCTTATTCGTCGTGAATGTCAAGCTCATGGCTGACCTTCTTACTGGGCTCGTTTTCCTGGTTGGCTGCTTGTGTTTGACGTTTCGATTTAGGGTCAGTTTTCTTGTATCAAATACTTCTCCGTCCCCGATCTCAATGCCTTCAAGGAAGTCCTCTTTTGATTGTTTTGGTCTCGGGGCAGGGGCGTCAATCATTTCCGTATCCTCGGAAAAGGTCGCTCGTTTACGCTTCTCGAGAATTTCGTGAAAATCGGGCAAGGGTCCTAGAGGTAGTTCCAATCCATCCAATGGTGCCTCGTCTTCGCTTTCGGCTGTAATGCTGGAAACACTGGCAGAAACAATTGACATACCCCTAGTGCCCATCCCACCTATCCCACGATCCCTAAGAGTAACCCCAAACCGCGACCCTAAACTGCTTCCCTCTGCCCAATCTTCAAAATCATTATCCACACCATGTACCACCGGACCACGAATGGTTTCCCCAAGTTTGATATTCAATTGTAAAGGGGCATCCGCAGGAAATTCAAAATCGTTTTCGAAATCTTCATCGACAGAAGGTGACCCTCTTGTAGCGGATTCTGATAGAGGTGGTGTCATTAGGAGAGATGCGGTTGATCTTTGGGGCCGTAATGTGTGCCTGCCAGGTGAAAGCTTTAACATCGGGAGATCGTCACTATCAGCGAAGAAGTCCTCATCTTCTGATAGCTCACGAAACTTGTTTAACTGTGACGATGCGTTGATGACTGGCATCAAACTTCCTCTCGCTGGTGAATTTCCCCTTGACCGGGATCCTGCAAGGATCTGCTGTAGTGTATCTGGAAATTCGTTACGTTCCTGTCCCCGGATCTTCAAAGCCATTCCCGACATGGGCAATTCCAAATCCTCACCCCAGTCGTCATGCGACGCAATTCGTTTAGATTTTCTCGTTGTTCCTAGCCTTTTTATTGTACCTCCGATCAATGCCGACGATGGAACATTTTCTGGTATAGGAATTCCGGCATTGATAGCAGAAGCGATAGCTGTAGCTGGTGAATCATCCAAAAGAACTTGGCGCTCGTGGTCCCAACCATCAGGTGAGTCGAAATCACAAATGCTAGATTGTATCGACATACGCGATGAGATGGATTCACGACGGTCGCGATTATGGTTATCGATATTCGATCGCATGTTGCTTTTACTTTTCGGGGAAGTAGATAGAGTGCGCGTCAGCTTCAGGTCTAAGTCGGCAAAGTCGGGGTCGTCGTCCCAGCATTCTATCCTGTCGCCGCAGCGACGGAGAGCCTGTGATGTGTCCATGGTGGTCTGTATGTGATGTACGTGTGCGTGTAGTTGTCGCGTCACAGTAAAATCGTTCTTTTAAAAAAAAAATGTACGTGTGTGGAGGTGATTCGAGATGCAACTGATTGGTATGATATCCGCCCCCAAGAAAATAACTTTTCGTTGTCCTTGCGCTCCGTCTAAGATAGTCTTGTGGTCGTTACGAAGGAAATTCGTTTCAGAGTCGTGTCGTGGTACAAGTCGTAATAAAAAGAAAGGAAAAATGTAGCGATCGAGTAAGATGAGAAGAAAACTGCCTAAAGAAATATGTCCGCGTCAAAAGATTCGTTTCGTTCGTTCGATTATGTATGTAGCTTTCTTATTTTATTTTTTTGGTGGGGTATCGTTTTGTGAGTGAGTGAACAAATGGTTAAAGTAGCTATGTAACTAGTAGCTGAGTGCTGAGTCTTTTTTTCGCTTTTTCTTTTTTCCTGTATTTTCCCCTTTCCGGGGAGTTTGTTGGGGTTGTGATTTCGAGGGGGCTGCTCTTTGCCTCCACGCTATTCTGTGCAGGAAAATGGCAGCACAGTCAAAGCGAGCGCATGCCTGTAGAGGTTAATTGTTGCAGCTCTTTCGAAGAGATGACGAGTGTCGAATTTCAATATGTTTGGGGATGAGGATGAATCTAGGAGCAGAGCAGCGGAGGGGGCGATGGGCAGCAAGAATGAGCGTAGGGGTAGACGATGAGATGTTGCAGAGAGAGTGGCGTCGGGAAGGAAAAGAAGGAGGGAGGTTGAACAAAAGGACCGGTCACAGGGGCGGTGCGTGTTGTGTGTGGATGTTTCTGTTTATTTGTGGAGGGGTCGCGTAAAGAGTTTGTAGATCGTTTCCACTTGCAGGATGTTACTCCAGCCACTTTCCCCTTTGCATTGTTTGAATTTTGAACATTGCGAGGATATCCTGTCCGTGCGTGATGTTCCCGCTCATTGCATGAGGATGTTCTACCTTCTATATGATGTACAGCGAGAGGTAGAATTATTGTAGAAACAGGGGTCTAAAAACAGGGTTTAGGTGGCTGACTCGGCCAATAGAATTCTTCCCATGCTTCTACAATAATTTTACCTCACGCTGTAGAGAGGTGTTAGGCCGGGCTGCTTGTGGTTAGTTCATGGTATATCACTCGTCTGTGTCATCGTCGTTACCACAAGCCAGGATAATCCCTTAGGCAAGGCGCATTGACCTTGCTACAACGGCACTCGGATCAAAATAAAGGGTTTCAAGTAGAACGCTCATCAATCCAGCTACTCTGTGTACGAATATGTGTATGTAGAGGGGACAAATATTATTGCGCTCTCATTAGTTAGAAGCTAGTTATGTCCCTGCATCGCTATCAAAAGAGCCTATTAGAAAAAAAAATGAACCAAAGACTTTTTGACCACAAAAACGCCATCACAAGAAGATTTCCGAGTTCCCCATGTTACAACGTGCTATTATCTGTCCCAGAAAAAAAAAGCCAAACCCCGCTCCCAACCTCATGCATGATTTATATCTATCCAAAGTCCTGCATGCCCAGGCTTGAAAAAATGACGAGTGCTTTTTCTTCAAGAAACAATGGAAAAGAAACAATTTCTCTGCCATACTGTCTCTTTGGTGAAAAGACAAAAAAGATTTTTTTTAAAGAAAGCCTGTAAAAAGCGGCTGCCTCTCACTTCCTTGATGAACAAGCTACAATCCGCCCTCAACCATCAAAGTGAAAAAGCAACCAAGGAACAATGGTAATGAGTCAAAAGGTAAAAAAGCTGAGCTGAATGAATTTTTCCGTAAATCTTTAGTGATTCTCGTGGAGAACACTAGCGGTATCCGTACCTGCTATAACGAGGTGCGGCCGCCGGAGGGGTACCCTGTGCTGGCCTGTTGTACATAGGGTTGCAGCAAAGCATGCCAACACGAGAGCCGAACTTGCTTCCACGTAAGGACACCATATGTTTGCGGATATGGGCAGCGACTTGCTCTTTATGCTGGGGTGAGGCATGTTGAAGGATCCATTGGACGAGATAGTTTCCATACTGATCACTCGCAACTGACCGGGCATTAGTATAGAAAGATTGAAGTTTTGAAAGGTAACGTACTGTCAATCAAAGGGATACGAGGACGATCTGTACGCCCTTCACAGACGCGATCGAGATATCTCTCGAGAAATTCTGCGCCTCCAATCTTCAAACATTTTTCGACCACCTTGGATGCATATTGGTCCATGCTGTATTCCGCGGCATTTTGGATCACTGTATCAACTGCCCTGGTGCGATCTAATGGGGCCCCGTGCTCACTTCCCTACAGTGTCAGTTATTGAACAAAAAAGAGGGAAAATACGTTTGGTGGGGGGGGGGGGGGGGCGTAGATAAACTGTTTCTATGCAAGCCGAACATACCAGATGTGTTGAATGCACCAGTTTCCAAACTGTCCATGTGCAATAATATTAATACACTCGAGGACCTCATCGATACAAGGGCGCTATAATTGTCGGTAAGGATACGCATATACATAAATCGGGTGTTTGGTAATTCAAACCTTATCTTCTTCAAGACAATTCTCAAAAATGTTTTGAACGACAAGACTTCCGGTTTCTCCCAGAGCTACTTCATGCCACATTCCACGCAACGCCTCATTGACATATTTCATAATCTGCGGAGGAGATTCGGTCCATCGAAGCTCGAACAATTTTTGCCAGACATGGCAGGCATCTATCATAAGTTAGCATTATGCCATATAGGCGTGAGTGTATAAACTTACATCTATGGATTACTGTCTCGGGAATTCGGCGAAGGAGTTCGGCGACCATCGTGGCCTTAAAATCTTCTGAAACGCAATCGAAAGCTTTTTGGATAACATGGCATCCAAAAGCATCCATACTTAAAGTCAACGTGTTTCCACGGATAGCACTAGCAATTCCGTCAATCTGATTCGAGGTGCCGTGTTCGAAACAGCGCTGCACAAGAAAGTTGCCAAAACGATTGATCATCAACGGATAAGCCTGTGCAACAATGGCGTCGACTATTGCGTGCTTTTGTTCTGCGGTGCCAATTTTGAGTTTCTGCTGGAGAAAGATAGATGCCTGTTGATCATTGTTGCAAACAATTTTATCTACGATGTACTTCCAGTTACAGTTGACACTCCTCTCAAGAAGTCGTCTGTAATTCAAAGGCTCCATTGTGGAGATATATGTTTGCTGCTGGGGGCTTTGCTGTGACATCTAATCATGATGTCAGTGGAGATTTCGAAAGGCTTTGCTTAAGGGAAAGAGACTTACTTGAGACTGTGGTCCCCAGATGGCACTGTTATTCCCAGTGGCAGCAGCAAATTCGTTACTTGAAGAAGTAGAAAGAGGTGTACCAATGGGGCTTGGAGTGTATGCATTCGATGTAACCTTTTCTCCACCAATCGTTCCGTGGTCAAAGCCTGAACGAAATGGTACAGCCTGAGGGTTATAAGAAGATCGACGGAACCCGGCAATTGGGGGACCAGCTTGGCTAGTGAAAGAGCGACTGCCATTCCATCCACGGTTCCCCGTGATGTAAATATCGTTAGACTCAAGTGCAGAGACACGGCGAAGAGGATTGGAGTAATGCAGGTCCGATTGACCAGTCAATGGTAATGCAGGGTTTTGTGATGTAATAGACTTCGAAGAAGCTCCCCAAATACCAGAAGGTCTGTTGTAAGGTCCATTGGGAAGAGATTGACCTTGATGGAATTCTTGGTTAATCTCTGTAACTGGCTCTTCATAAGAAGAAGAAGTCCAGATATCCGCTCTATGGGCGTTTTGACGTGCAGTTTGGCCAAGTTGAGCCTGTGCAAACGCTGTCTGAAGAGAAGCAAGAGTATGTTCAGAAACATCTTCTTCCAATGGAAATTTGCCATCTCTAGATGGGCTTAGAGCTTGATCAAATGTATGATTGGTAATTCTGGTCTGAACAAGTTCTTGATTTAAAGCCGAGATATTACTCTGAGCAGCCTGTAGCTCTGTCTGCAGTCGGTTGAGTTCATGGACGCTTTGATGTTGGGCAGCTGGGCGGTACCCATAAGTGTCCGAGTTGTCAATTGAAACGTCTGGAGAAACGTCATTGGAGAGAGACGAACTCGAGCCACTTGACACCCTGATAGTGTTATTGTAACACGGGACACCAGGATAGGAGTCCAATGGAGCAGCAGTCCTAACGTTGGCAAGTTCCTTCTCTTTGTTATCAAGAGCTGTACGCTGTTGGTCAATCAATCTTTCCTGCTCAGCGAGCTTGGCAAGAAGCATTTGAACCTCTGTGTTGTTGCCCGAGGTGATAGCTTTAGTCTGCTTGGGAGTTCTTGTACGGTCATCCTCCTATCGGACTGTTAGCACATGAAGCCCATACCAGAGTCATCATACAGAGAATAATAAAGATGAACTTACTTCTTCCTCGTGAGCCATAACATTTAAAGCATTAGAGTTTGTCATCTTTGATGAAACTAGAGGCTGCCTCTTGAAGCTCCTGGAAGGCTCCAATTTCGGGGTGTTTGTTGCAGACTGGGTAGAAATAAGCAAGTGCCCAAAGAGAAGTAGGATAGAGAGATTGATGGTTCACTCAACTTGTTGGTTGCTCCCTGTGGGACTATTGTCGTCTGGGACGTCTTCACAGATCACGAAGTCTGGATGGCCAAGGTTGACTGACCGCGAGTTGCACTCAATAGACATAGCAACAAAGGTACCAGTGAAAAATTATCAGTTTTCTGCTGCACTATGACCGTAACTTGTGCTTTTATTCCGCCGGAATTTAGATTTGAGATTTGAAGAAACAGATACTTGGTATGAAAGCAAGGAAACTAGTGATGAACGAGAGACAGAGAGACTGAGAAGAAGAGGAGAAGAGGAGACGGACGAGAAGGAGAGAAGATAAGGAGCAGTCGAGGAGATGTGGTGTAAACCGAATAGAAGGAGAAGCTAGGCCCTGGTGACTTGCCACAAATCCCGGAAACCAACAAAAGTGTCCCACTGGCAGGAGCCCCCCTAGGCCTTAGATGACGAAACAGTCTTACATGGCTCCAACTGAAAGGGGATTTTCTATTCCCCAGAAAATGAGCCGACAGGGTAAACTATAAATATACCGCATTGTATATCCGCCATAGGTAATCAAACATCCCCATTGCTTTCGCACCCCCGGCTCCTCCCCATTTCATCTCATTCCCGACAACGATAAAGTTTGGTTGACCAACACCTGTCCTCAGAGGCAGCATGCGTGCAGCAGTGCGAAGGCCCATTTCATCCGTACCCCATATGACTAGTGCAAGCTGTTCATTCGGTAGTGGATATAGGTATATAATCCCCATACCGGGTTCCAGTGGATATCGATGACGACGGCCCCGGTCGTCGGCGATCACAATAGCCTTTCCAGATTTTGTGATTGGAAAGTTTATATCAACATCTTGTATCTCAATGCTAATGTCATCTGGAAAGTCAAGAAGAATAAGATTCCCATCCCCTATGATCGGCTTCCGCGAGCCGTTGACAATTATTTCCGAGTCTGCTGCGAAGTATTGGAAAAGATTTCGTGATATTTCAAGAGCAACATCATGATGATAACTCGCATAGTTATCCTTTTCAGGAATTAAGATACTGAAACGGGATCTGGAACCCAATACGGTATCCAAGGCTCCCATTTGTCGGCCACTCCGCTCGCGTAATTTCCAGCTTGGGTCATCAGTTTTCTGAAAGTCCATTCTGTTAAAAACATCCCGTGCCCTTTTACTTAGAATTGCCAGATACTCACAAACCACTTTCCGTCTTCTAACACGGAGAACCAATCATAATCCTTGGACCTGTGAGTAATGTTTAAATCAAACACGTGATCATCAACTATCACTCGACTCGGTAAGCTAGTTTCGGTTGGCCTCGGCTTTGCAAAGTGCCATCTATGGATGTTGAACGTCTTCAGATTCCAAACTTCACCACGAACTTCTACATCAATGCGACCAATTCTAGATTTCTATTAGTCAAGACTCTAAGAGGTCTATAATATCTTCGGGTATACACACTGATCTGGAGTCTCCAATTGGTCAACCACGATCCCTCCTCTGGCGGCAGTATCTGCTGGGTTGGCAACCACAACAGAGAATACATCGGGCAAAGCTTGAATCTCGGGCTTTTCGTGGAGATAATACTCAAGGAATGAAGCCAGTCTCCCGTCAGTCATCACACCTTCCCACCTACAGATAAGTTAGCACTTTACACCATCCGATTCTAGCTTAATATCTTTTCAAATCTAGCCTACCAGTGACCCCGCCCAAGAATCTCCAGATATTCAGTTCCCCAGCCTGACTCACATACAAGCTGCGACATGCGTCTTGAATGAAAAATGGGAACATTGTCGTCATCTTGACCATGTTGCTGTAGCACAGGAGTGCCGACGATATTCCCAGATAAAAGTTCGTTTCTATAGGTGTTCAAGGACGTAAGGATCATAGCCATCTTCCTAGGGTCAACCTCATGCCACATGTGATATGGGACATAGGCTATAGTGGTAATGGTAAGTACTTTTCGAAGATTGCTCACAGAGGACGACAGCTCACCTGGAATTGACAGATACCCTGATAACGGCGCGGCGGCGATTATCTTATCATTTCTGTGTGTATCAGTTGTAAAGCACTCTGCCTTCAAGTGACAAATGACTCTACCTGTGTGTAAGCCCATACCAGGCACCCTGCCCTGCTTCAGAATTAGAATATGCTAACGTTAATACAGAAGTTCCTGAATTGTTAATAACATACCCCCATTGGAATGTCCGCTTATTACCCATTTCTCCAAGTCTACACCTTGTCTTTCCCATTCAACACTTTTCATCCATTGCGGAATTGCATTAACTCCTGCTTCAGCATCCGGAAACCCCCATACGTCTTAAAAGTCACTAGTCAGCATGTACGAATAGTGGATACAGGATAAAACTTACGCCAATCATCACCACTCCATGATGTGACACCGCTTGGAATGAGTAACCAGGAGCAAAGGTCCGGCAGTGCATCATATTGCTCTTTAGACTGAGGATCGTCTGCTTCTACTCCAGCACCATGCAGTGCAAGAAGCACTGGCAAATTATTACTAGCAATTGGTGTGCAGTGGGCATTTGGAGAAGGTGGCCGGATAACTGCATATGATACAACCCCAGAAGGATGAAGAAATGTGAATTTCTGCGGGAGATACCAGTGGGAGATCTTATTCAACCTCCTAGAAGTTGATACCCATTGATCTTTTGTGCTCCCCTCGACACGATACCGAAACTTCAGGACTAAGACTGTTTGGTCGAGTTGTAATCGTTTTATTTGAAACTTTACCGGCCTCGTTTGACCAGGTGCAAGTTTCAAGGGCAAATCACCATTCATAAATGCAACCTCCGTTATATTCTTTCCGCCTGAAGGTGGCCAAAGCGCAGGCCAATATCCAGTAAGTCCTAGAACAACTTCTAGAAAAAAATAAAGATCAAGTAGGGGCTCACATACATCATTACCAGAAAGCTCTAAAATTTCAATCCATTTGCGTGCATCATTTCTTAGTGGGATGTTAGCCAATTCTCCAACTAGCTTCCCCTCCACGAGATCAGAAACAATGGTGCTCTCTGGTATAGCTACCAGTATACCCGGAGAAACACTGGCATGCACCTCAAATGAGATTCTTGGAGGCATCATCCCACCGAAATTCCTGATGTCGTGGGTTACTCTGACATCCAGCCTATGTTTCCCCGGTGCCAGGTGTAGAACTATTGGTGCACGATGATATCCGTAGAAGTCACCACCAAAATAATGTGCATCGTCAACCCAGAATTCACCTACATTTGACACATGTAGTACAACTGTTATTAGTTTGCTTCCAGTTTCGGCATCATCACAGATATCTAACGACCCTCTGGCCCAGGCTTGGAATTGAATCCCAGACCAGCCATAAACTGAGCGGATCGAGCCCCAATCAACATTGTCAAAGCCCACAGTTATGACACCTTTGGTAGAATTGAAAGACAATTCTTGAGAGCTTATCTGTGTTTGGGACCAATGTGCTGTTCCGTTGATGGGAAGAGAGCTCCTGAAACTGGATGAGTTATCATATGTTAAGTTCCTAAATCCACCAATCCGTTCGAGCGGATCAGCACCCCATTCTGCTTCTATGATGATAATTCAGCAGGGACTCTATAACAATGCATCATATGAACATACCACGCGTTCCTATTTGGAAAGGCCCTAATATATTCCAATTGGTTGATAAACTAAGTCGAGAGGAGCAATGAACATTAGAAAGAGAGGTGGCAGAGACCCAGGGTATTAATAGTGTTTGGAAATGCATGACAAGTTGTACTGATGTCACCTGTTATTTACATCTTGGAATCGTCATATCTTGACGCGTGTTTAATCGAATGTCTTGGCAACTACTACGAGTAATGCTTAAAATAAAGATAACACGAAATGAATCAGATTCTATGAACCGTTTAGCCAGATAGCCGAGAGCTTATATATACAACACAGCAAGTCTGCGCTCCAGTAGGGCTTTGCAGGAAGAGCGGAGATGAAACGAAATTTCAAAGCAAAAACAAAACAGAGCAAAACGAAGTTCCCGGGTATCGCTAGCTTTTAAGTGCAAAACGTTTCCAACGTCTATCGTAACAGCAAACCAACCCCGCGTAAAGAAATAAGATATCCCAAAGAAATAATAGTTGTATCGAAAGAAAAAAACAGTTTCGCATTCCGCTCTTGACCAACCAACTTTTACGGTAACAGAAATTTACCCGACTTTTCCAGTGATTGCCAGGCCAGAAAATTAGGGTTCCCGGCCATGTCATGGGTTTCATTCTCAATAGCGACCCGGAATATTTACATCAACTTCTTGTCGAAGATGGGGATCAAGGTTTGCGCTATTTCATGGTTAGCTCAATCTCCAAACCCCCGAAAGTCAAGGTTCTGTATTAGGAAAACATACCAAGCCAGAAAGAGAACACCAATTTGGGACCAGTCATCAAGAGCTTGGGGGTAAGACCTTTGAAGAATGAGGTAATTCCCTCGTTCTTCATCATGTTGGAAATGATCCTGAAACCACTCTCGGGGTTCTCGAAGTTCCTTCACGAATGTCAGTCAATATGTTGTAGTTTTGAACCACATGCTGAATCGAGCTACTTACTTGTTCTGAATACGGGTCTTGATGACATCCAAAGGCGCCGAGACGATCAAGGAGGCAGAGGCACCGGCAATAGAAGCAATGAAGTTCTGGGTCCAGGTGGCAGCGTTGTAGTCGGAAAGACCAAGTGCCTCTTTTGCGAATGCGGAACCTCCGAAAAGCTGCAAATTGTCAGTTACGAATGTTTCAAATAAAAGGTTGTTAGATACTTACCGCGAACGACCCCGGAGCGTTACGGGCAGCGGTCCATTGCCATCCTCTGTATAGTCCAAACCCTTCATCGGCGACGATCTTGAACAATCCACGGCCACGGAAAGCCTCGGGGTTGGTCTGGCGCTTGATCTTCAGGACATCAAGAGGAAGCAACACAATCTCTCCAATACCGATAAGACTGCAAACCAAGTACAAAAGTTACTATCAAGTCCTTGGGTAACAAATTGTAATTAAGTAAAAACAAACCTTCCAGCAGTAGCGTGCATGATAGCCTTTCCAGAACCCTTACCAAAGGCAGCCTCAAACTTCTCGTTGTGGTGCTGGCCCAAGTAATCCCTGACGAACGGCTGGCCTCCATATTTGTAGATTCTCTGGAGAACTTTGTACCCCGCGGCGTATCCCAATCCCGGGAACAAGGAGAAGAACTTGCGGGGCAGAGTCGCACCAGCGTGCTCCTTGAAGATGACAGTGTTCAATTGGCCAACGCCGTTAATCTTGCCAGTATTTGACATCAATCGCTTCGCGATAGTATCAACCTACTCATACAATCCTCATCAGCTTCGTTATATGCAATAACCTGAACCAGTGAGGTAACAAACAGGGTGGAAAACAGCCAATTCCGCAATACCGGCGGATCCTGCAATTTAAGAACATTCTTATTAGCATATTGCCTCTCAAAACTTCTATATATGGCCTTTTGAACAAAAAAGATAACCTACCAGAACCCAACAACCTCGCAACACCAGACTCCTTTCTAGCACCCTTAGACGGCGACGCAATTGGCGACATTTTTATATGATATATCTATATATTAATTCTACAGAATTTTGGTGGTAAGGGGAACTTGGAGGAAAGTAAATTCACAAAGGACGCGGCGGGGGTATCGAGTGACTGATAAGAGAACAGAAGAACAGAGCGCACTGAAAAAAAAGCCCTCGTCGCAGCTGGAGGGAGAAAAAAAATTGGTTGTTGATACGAACAGTGCCAAGCCAGCGCTACGGGCAGGGGTCCGGATGAACCCCACTATGAACCCGTTGTAAAAATTGTGAAAACGTGCGAAGATCACGAATGCTTGAAATCGCTAATCAAACGACTGCGGCTTTAAGATAATTCGATACCCGCAGTTAAATAAATCGCAATATCTACTATCTCAAAATCTCGCCTTCCGTTCGCCGGAAACTTCACACTTGAGCAATTGCGCGCAGAAGATGTTCGGAGACCCTATGAGATGATGGCTCATCCCACCATGCAGGGTCAATAATCAAAACATTTCACTTCATCTGCCTAGAGCAAACTATATTAACATAAAAACCCTATCTTTAAACCAAGAAACTCATGTTTGTAATCGTTACGATCGCTGCTTGAATAGACAACTCTTAACGTTAAGTTCGGATTTTAGTTTTTCCGATACCTCTCGTTGATGCGGGGAAGCACGGACATAGGACACGGGCAATTCGAAACTGCAGCTCCATGTTCAGGTTCTAAATGTTTAGTTATCGCCTTTTTTTTCCCTTTGATTCCCAAACCCTAGTTTTCATGTACATTGACATTCCTATACCCATTTATTCATACCATATTTTGAACTCTTCCTCGTTAACCCAAAACCTAACACCAACTTCTCTACTGATACAACCTACAGAAAGAAACGCAAACTAACAAATCAAGACAAGACAAGAGTAGTGGGTAAGCTAAGCACAAAAGTGAAGCTTCCATGAGCAATCGAAAAAGGAAAGAGAGGGGGGGGGGGGGTTTTAGAGTCGAGTACCGCAGTATAAGGTTTAAAGTCGATACGAAAATAAGGAAGAGTTAGGCATTGCATTCGTCTATTTTGACAATCCAACCTTAGATAGGGTTGAACTCTTCTGGCCGCTCTTCTCGTCAAAAATTCCCAACAATGTCTTCCAAACCTGGCCAGGTTCCTGGGAAGCATCGACGCCCTGCCAGATACCCTTCTTCTTGTAGTAGTCGACTACCGGGGAAGTCTGTTGGTGATAAGTTACGAGGCGCTTCTTCAGAGTCTCCGCGTTGTCATCACTTCGCTGAATCAAAGGTTCACCGGTAACATCATCCTTCATGTCATCCTTAGGGGGGTTGAAAAGACGGTGGTAAGAACGGCCAGAAGCCGGGTGCACGAGACGACCAGTGATACGGCTCACGAGAAGAGCATCTTCAATCTCAAGCTGAACCACATGGTCAAGCTTTCCTCCACGGTTTTGAAGCATAGAATCCAGACGCTCTGCCTGAACAACTGTACGTGGGAATCCGTCAAGAATGAAGCTGTAACCAGAATATTAGAGGATTAAAACCTCACCAAAGAAGACACGTAGAATAGAATGCTTTACCCGTTCTTGCACTCAGCGTTCGTCTCAAGCTCGTTGTTAATCATTCCAATCATAATTTCATCGCTGACAAGCCCGCCTTCGTCCATGATCTTCTTCGCCGCTCGGCCGAGAGGGGTTTTCTTCGCGACTTGCGAACGAAGCATGTCGCCAGTGGCCTACATCACAAAAAGAAAAACGGAAAATTTAGCCCTCATCGCACCCCCGGAAATTCCCCACAAATGCAACAGCAACGGTGGATATCTTACCAAATGGCAGATGCAGAATTTCTCCTTGATCTTAGGAGCCTGGGTTCCCTTCCCTGTACCATGTTAGCCGAGGTGCGTTCAGGGCAGATTAGTATGGTCAAAGGCATCTCAGTGCCACGGAACAGCGTATGTGGGGAGAGAAAAAAAAATCACTACTTACCAGCACCAGGAGGACCCATAAGGATCATTCTAAGTTGTTCGCTGGGTGTCTGAACATCACCGTTTCCAATAATGCTCTGCTCGATCTTGTGTATCCGGTCCTGGAGCTGCTTGACAAGTTCCTTAAGGCCAGTGACGTCTTCTAATGTGGGAGCCATTTTCGATTATTGTGTGAGTGGAGGCTTTGGTTGAGTGGAGACGATGAACTGAGAGTTGACTAGAAGCGAGGAATTGTTGTTTTGATCAATTGATGGAGAAGAAATAGATGAAAGGGAGGAGAGGGAAAGAAGAAAGAAGCGGAATCTGGCTTGTCGGGGGCAGGCACAACTTTGGATGTCCAAGGCTTCAAAAAGCGGTTTAGGCTTGGATCTGTTAGTTGGGGTTTACTTCGGTCTCACGGGCCAGCTTTGTGGCGCGCACATACATGTACCATTGGGGCATGTGGTACTAAGGGCTGGAGTGCATCATGTACCTACATGTACTCTACTCTGTTCTACTGTACCTTTTTGAATATATGTGTGTGTAGGTACAGAACTGGACAGATAGATGATTGAACACCACACCCCAACAAAACTCTTCATCACATTCATGTATCTATGTACCTACGTGGTTCTACGTTGGAGGGAGATGATTCCATGCATTGCACTCGGAGCGGGGGGAACCTACATGCATCTAGTAACATCGCTACCATTCGGCCGAAGCGGCTCAAAATTTCTTGGAGAATGAATGTAGGTGCGTACTTGTACTTGAATCGGGAACACAACTCGCACTTAAACAGGACGTAGGACTGAAGCCAGGTGCTACAGGCAGGTGATCAATGGAAATTTCACTGCAATTCCGAGCCTTGATGTACAAATGCCGGTCAATTCCGGTATCCCTACAAGGAGAGTCCGGAAAAGAGGGCCGGTTAACTTTGGTCAGTGATATTCCATGAAGCGGCTATCAAGCTTAAAGGTACATATAGGTATATTGTACTATAGGTACTCTAGGTACATATAGGAACTCGAGTTAGCCACCGAATTGCATATACCGCTTTTGAATAACTCAGAGGAAAACCTGGGTTATTGGTGCACTAGTTTGTACTTCCTTCCCTCTCGTACACAGCGAGTGATAAAATGTGATCAAACCAGTGACATCAATGAACAGCTCTATTAGAGACAACGGCTCGCCTACATACATGTATGTATGTATATTTTAAAGCATGTACGCACAGATTCACCAAGCAACATTTCCGGGAACGAACGGGTCAAATAGGAACTGGAAAGGGCGAGGCAAATAGTGGCAACAAAAGACCAAGTGGCATTGACATGCCTGACCGCCTGGATCATTTCCACATCGAAACCGAGGCTGTTACATAACTAACAGCATTATTACTCAAAAAGGTAACCAGGGACGCCGAAGAAGGCTTCGGAGTTCAAATGGATGGATTGGTTCATGGGTTTCTTGCCGAGTAGTGGCCGAGGTGCCCGGTTCGAGGTTTCGGTGGAACGGAAGAGACTGTTGGTTGGTGGCACCTCTCCGAGATTTGGAAGAAGTGCTTCAGGTATTGTGGATAATTATGCGCCTCCAGACTGTTAACTTGTGTACCCTCTGGGGGAGGATGTTAGACGTAGGAAGAGTAAATCGGTTAAGTATTACTCTTAACCAGTAATCACACTAGTACGTTCTGGAAGCTCGATATTTTTAGAGCTCTATATTTGGGTTTGGAGCTATACTTGAGTTCTATCAAGAAGCCGTATGTAAATACATATCGCTGTTGTGTCAACTCCGAGTGATTGAATCCCGAGTTATCGGGGACAGCTCGCCGCGCCGAAAGTAGCTGTGGAGGGGTCCAACGCCAAGCCTCACCAAATGGAGTTCGCGAGTGCCTCAACTCATCAAGTCAACTCAAACGTTGTGCAGAACCAAAACCTATCATCGATAATTTCATCATCATCCCCATCCGCTAAATCTACTATACTAGCCTAGAACAAACATACAACAATGCCTACTACTCTCGGGGATGCTGTCCCCAGCACTACCGTTTCCATCGCTCCCCTCATCCTCCTCTCAGCGTGCGATCACTACGGGCGTTCTGCCAAGGGAACCAGAAAGCGGGTTGTCGGTGTGCTGCTAGGACAGAACACTGGAGGAAACGTAAGAGTTACAAACAGCTTTGCTGGTACGAGATAAAGCTTCTTTTAGATGGATAGATGGATATTTGCTGATTGAGGGCTCTGGAAATACACAGTTCCTTTCGAAGAAGATGAGAAGGATCCTGCAGTATGGTTCCTCGATCACAACTATGTCGAGTCAATGAACGACATGTTCAAGAAGGTCAACGCCCGAGAGAAGCTTATCGGATGGTACCACTCCGGTCCGAAGCTTAGGGCGTCGGACCTAGAGATCAACGAGCTATTTAAGAGATACACACCCAATCCATTATTGGTCATCATTGATGTTGAGCCAAAGGAGCTGGGAGTACCTACGGATGCTTATTTTGCTGTGGAGGAGATTAAAGATGTATGTCTATCGACTCTCCCGATGGAACCTGATGATATGTTTGATGGGTTGGGTTGGTTTCATGACTGAGGTAAGGGAGCTGTGGCTGATATTACGATTGCAAATATAGGATGGTACAACTACCACAAAAACCTTCGTCCACACACCCTCTATCATCGAAGCCGAGGAAGCTGAGGAGATTGGTGTTGAACACCTCCTCCGAGACATCCGTGATGTTGCCGTCGGCTCCCTCACAACCCGCATTAACAACCAACTCCAATCCCTCCAGGGTCTTCATCTCCGCCTTCGCGACATAGCTGCCTATCTCGACAAGGTCCTTAAGGGCGAGCTACCCGTTAATCATGCCATTCTTGGGAACCTCCAGGATGTTTTTAACCTCCTTCCCAACCTTTCTACACCACCGGCAGACGGTGATGATAGCAATGAATTGGCGAGAGCTATGAGCATCAAGACAAACGACCAGCTCATGTCTATTTATATCTCTTCGTTGATCAGAGCAATTATCGCGTTCCATGATCTTATTGATAACAAGATCAAAAACCGCCAGGATCAAGCGGAGGAAAAGGAAAAGGAGCAGAAGGAGCGGGAAGAGAAGGACAAAAAATCGAATGGGGCCTCATCACCCGATAAAGAAGGGTCCACGGAGAAGGGCGGAAAAGAAGAGCCCTCGAAGGAAAAGAAGAAGAGTGAAAAGGACTAAAAGGGTGATATCTGGTTATTATGGTGGATCCGGAAGGCAAAACATGGTTGGTGTAGAAAGCCATCTTTCTTGTAGAATAACCTCTATAATACAGAGTTCTCAGAAGCTCAGAGGGTGGCATTTTTTTTTTGCGTGTTTCTGTTGCATGTCATGAATGATGAAGGATTACATAGTTCAAATATCACTGCTAACTGGGAATTCCAGCAAGGTCTTTCCCTTCCCTTTACACTCAACGGCACGATGACTGAATACTGTGCTAGGGGACTGTTCCCCCTTATCTGTTCGAGGAGATTCTCCTCGGTGGTTTTCTACCGACGATATCATGTCGTCCAAATAAGCCCTGTCAATGATCTCATCGCACCAACTGCCAAGAGGTTCTTTTTAGGAGCGTACAAGAGGCTCACCACACCCCGCACTAGCCCACATCCCACCACCTCCCACCAAAAGCCCCCCCACAAACGGACCATCACGATGGCGGCGCCAATACTAAACGTAGAGTCCGCAAAACGCCTTGCAGCTCACCGCGCAGTAGACGAGCACTTCCCCGCCCATGCCCGCCATGTCGGTATCGGCTCTGGGTCCACCGTCGTCTACGTCGTTGAGCGGATCGCGCAGCTGTCACGCGAAATCACCGACGGGATTATCTTTGTCCCCACGGGCTACCAATCGCGTGAACTTATCTTGCGCGCCGGCTTGAAGCTAGGAAGTATCGAATTGCATACTGACCTTGAGGTCGCATTCGATGGCGCAGACGAGGTAGACCCGTACCTCAACTGCATCAAGGGCGGTGGGGCATGCTTGTTCCAGGAGAAGCTAGTCGCTCTCTCTGCGAAGAAGTTTGTTGTTGTCGCTGGTATGCCTCGAGTCTTTATCCCTGCGGTGAGATACTGAGAGAATTAAATTAGACTACCGTAAACTTTCACCTTCACTCTCGACTCATTACGCTCCTGGTATCCCCATCGAGGTCGTCCCCACCGCCGCAACTCATGTTCTCTCCCGCCTAATATCGCTCGGTGCTGTAAACCCCGTTATCCGCATGGGCGGCGCCTCCAAAGCTGGACCCTGTATTACAGACAACGGGAACTTCATCATTGATGCCCCTTTCCCCGACGGCTTCATTCCATCCCCTACCTCACGTCTATCACACCAGCGCAGTATCTCTCCCACGAGCTCTTCAATCGGCTTAGACGCCGGTGCTGTACAGATGGGCGGCGAGCGTGTTGGAGGCCTCGACATCCTAGGCAAGGAGGGAGGTCACCCTGGAGCGGCGGTAGGAATGGGAGTGGGCGGGAACGAGAAGGTTGAAGAACTCGCCAGGGTTTTGAAGAACATCGTGGGAGTAGTGGAGCATGGTGTGTTCTGGTCGGGGGATAAGAAGCCCGTGATGGCATATTTTGGGATGGAGGATGGCAAAGTGGAGACGAGGACGTTGCATGTATAGCTAACTACAATGTGATCTCTCTCTTTCCTTTGTTGTTTGGACGGTGTCGTGTTGTCTGGATTATAGCGAGCAGCGATCTGAGTCTTTTTTTACGAGTACATACAGCCAGTGTACCAAATTAAAAAAAATTCCATCCTCCTATTTATTTCACTGTTTTTAAAAGTTTGTGTAATGCGTGGCAGTACGAATTTAAGCGCCAGTTAAAATGGGAAAATCGATCATTGACCAACCTACCAATCACACGCTAAATATTCGTGGTCAAATCTAAGCACATACATCTATTAAGACTCTTTACATAGAACTCAACTTAAGGGCTGTACTGGAATGTACTCAAGCCCTTCAATTGAAGGGCCGGGCTCCCTGCTTCCTCTGCGCATCAGCCCCTTCAAAGGAAGAGATCTAATTATAAAGGCTCCGTGGTAGCGAATAATATTGCAAATTTTGAAACAACTATGACTAGACATTTGATGTTCACTAAGTTACATATGATCAATATAAATTTAGGGAGGAATCATGACCAATCCAGTATATGATCCCAGTTGGTGACACATAGGAAAACCCCTACTGTAGAGAGAAGGTCCCCAATAAGTAAAAGGGAAAACATGAAGTCCGTACTTAATATGATGATATTGATTTAGGACCTGTTCCGGTAACAAAACAATCCACTTTTTTGAGGGGTTCTGTTTATTTAGTACCAATACCGGTATATCAAAAACGTCATTTTGAGGGCTTTTGTGGGTGGGGGTCTTCTTAGCTTCTGACATAGTGATGTTATAGTGAATGAAGGACCACAAGAAACTGTATAATCTGGTTTCCGGTCCTAACTTCGAATTCCCTCAGTAATCGATTGAATCAACCGACCTGGTGGATTTATATTTAATCGCGGTAGATCAACTCCCCGCCCACCAACGCTAACCACAGCACCAGAAAGATCCATCTCCATCTGCTTCAAAGAAGATTTATACCGAGAGGATAGTTACTGAGGTACTTAGACTGGTCCCTTCGGTATTTGCCTTCTTTCTTTCTTTTTTGCTTTGGAGACATTTTTTTTTTCATTACCAGAGATGGTTTTATAATTATGCACTTGATAGAATGTTGATCCTGTATTAGTTAATTCATCTTCTATCCCTTCGTGCGTTTTCACGACCGGGAGCTAGTAGGCAACTTTTACTCGGCAGTACACCTAACCCTCACTCCGTGAACCTCTTTTGTTGTGAAGCCACCTTCTGCGACCCCTCCTATACCTATTCTGGTGTCTCCATAGTCTGTAGGTAGCTAGCTTTTCTAAATATCACCACGCCGTCGTGGGCCTAATATGTCTCCCTTTTCGCTCTAACGAACGAAGGGATATAAAACAATTAGCACGGCGGCAAGTATTGACCATGGACCTACTTGTATCACTCACCACGACGAGGTCGGAACCTGGGTACAATGGTTGGACTATCGCCCAAGTTGAGGTAATTATAGTACTTCTGATTTATTTTCTGATAAATTAACAAGACTCGCTAGCTCAATCGGTAGAGCGTGAGACTCTTAATACCAATGGTATCTCAAAGTTGCGGGTTCGACCCCCGCGTGGGGCTTTATTATAATAGTCTACCTCTCTTACATTCCCATACTGGGGTGGGCGTTTCGCTCTTGCAATCACTGGGCTGGTGGGATATTTTTGCGGCGTAGTTTTTTTAATTGCCTGTACTTTGCATTCGTATACCATACGTAACTTAATTTGATGCATCGCGCCGGCATAGAAAGAGAAAAACCGTAGCCAAAATCATTCCATTCCCTTCTAGATTCGGCCTGTGCTATCCCGCCCCTCCGACAACTGATCCAGTATCTCAAGACCTCATCAATGGCCTCCCATCAACTAACTGCTCCTCGCAATCTACATATCACCTGTTCATTTGTATAACACTTTAACTGCTATTGCTCATCTTGGTCAGGGAATGGGTTATACACAAAGCCGATAATATGAAATTTGCGCGAGAGACGCAAAATGCCCTAAGTTTATAGCGGTCCTAAATAGAGCATCATGATTTTCAAACAGAGAACTTACCTAAGGCCAAACTTAGTGGGCCCAGTCTAGTCTTCTCTAATCTTGGGCGTGGGTGCTCGTCCCCTCCTGGCGGATTTATATGCGCTTTGCTGATTTATGTGCGTGACCCGGATCGCATTAGAAACAGTACAGCAAGTGAGATTCTATGAAGAAGCCATAAAAGCTATTTTGTTTGCATCCTTTGACAGAAAGGTACAGAACAACAGAAATTACAAAAATTAACCATTACTTTAGTGATCTAGAAAGGTAAACCCTAAAGAGGGACTAAGTTCGGTTGACTCCAGACTGCCCTCCTCTCCATCACGTTCCTGGCCTGGTGTATGGTTCCTCATGTAGGTCCATCCCTAAATGGCCCTTCTCGACTTTTTTCATCTCCCCACACCTTCTCTACGGACATATCCCTTATTCAACAATCCCATCCAACGATCTAGCACCCACGTTCGCCTTCATGAACATCACTTCCTCCTCTCAACCCCTGTTGTCCATATACATAGAAATGAGAGAAAAGAATCATCGCTAATGGTAACTTCAGGGTCAGATGCTATTTTGGAGCACTGACGTCTTGCATGGCCGACTTTGGACTGTGGAGCTGCTTTGGAATATTTCCGTTAGGCCTCTTATCCAGACATCGGTTTTGTATCTAGAAGAAGACCGAGTGGGGTATGCATGTCTGTCGTCCTTCTATCTTCCCTGCTTCCAACGGTCTAGGAAACATCCCTTAGTCTTTCACGGAGGAAAGTCTCAGGCTTCCGCTTTGTAGCCTCGCCGACAGCATTACCGACAGCGTCCCACAAAAAGCAGCCGGCATTAATGGCTATGAAACTCCGTATCAGCCTCTTTAAAAGCTATAAGGGCTAGTAGATGAACCATCTAACGTCCTGTCAGGGCAATGGGCCATTTCCGGCGACTGATACAGCGCGTGGGGACATGAAACTCCCAACAAATTGAGTCGGGGTCGATATCACCACTACCGTAAGATTAATGCTTTATGCTACTATAATAAGGGCCATATCCTGATTCACCGCCCTGTGATAAAGAGTATAAGTAATTTTCGAAAGATGTATGGCGAAAGTGTATATCCTGCAGATGTGCGTAGACCACTCAGAACTCAAATACATCCACCTCACCTCATATAAGCGCAGAAATGGACGAGTCGACTAAACGTATACACAGATCCTTCCTATACAGACACATGTAGGAGAGCAAATGCTCAAGGGGTTGATCCCTATAGACGCCGTGGACGTGATTTGAGCAAGGTGATTCTCAGAGGGGGACACACTTGAGTTTTCTATCAACCACGGAGTTATAGAATTACCGAGAAGTACAAAGAAGCTAGAAATACCTCTTAACTTGAACCTTTGTCGTCGGGGGGCTGTTTTATAGTGGGTTCTTTCCGCAGGGCCGGCCTTCACGAGAGATCACTCGGCCCTGATCCAGTGCGAGGGTCTGGTAGGTAATAAGGGGTATGGAGGAGCGGCTTTCGGAAGGTAAACATATATATTGCGTTGATGATATATCTACCTTTTATAAAGTTCAATTCGAAGATTCTGATATCATCCCCGAGGTTTAATACGTTTAATAACAACATCACCCCTCATCGAGCTAGCTCGCTTCTTTCTTCTCAATCGATACGAGACATGTCAAAGATAATCCCGCGTATTGGCCTTTAAATTCTGGTAGCCAATTGGGAGAAGAATTAAATCAGGAGATGAGCCATAAGTGATAAGTATAACCTGATTTCTCGCTGTAGGTAAGATCTACCAATGAAACATGCTAATCTTCATATGAATTAAACAAAAAAAAAAAAATGCTAATCTTCATATGATATCACTCGAGTGAATCCTAGCTATTAGTACCGTGCCTGGGTCACTCGAATAACACTACATGGTACAGAAATCATATTTTATTGACATTATAAGTGGCGAATGCTTTATTAGATCCACCATTCTTAACTACCCTATCGTACTAGTATCCGCTCGTACTTTTAATATCTATTATCATAATAACTGTTCGTAAAACTGTACAGCCAGATATAAAAAAGGTGAAAGCAGAATTTGGAACCTAAACGCTGGAAAAGTCTTAATATTCCCTCCCAAATAATTACCAGGGAAACCCACACACGCCTGTGAAAATGTCGAAACCCAATCACGATCACAACTTAAAAGAATCTCCACCAGATAAAGAAAAGCATGACGAAGCCAACAGCGCCAATGGGGCCATACTAAATTTAGCACACTTATTAGCTTATTCCTAGTTCCAAATTCTTTTGATATCTGGAAAGAAACTAACCTGTTTCAACATGGCTTCCCAGTTTATTCTCACGGCAGCTTGCCTATACTTCTTGCTCTCGTCTCGCAATCTGCTGCTCATATCTCCCATCCTCTCGAGAGAATCTCCGCGGTAGAGTAAATCCTCGATATTCTTCGTCATAACCTTTGTAACATCCTTAAGATCATCGTTGAGCTTATCCAGATTGGCGGTAGCCCTGGTGTCCTGGTAAGTCCTCTTTGTACGCTGCATGAAGGTGTCGAATGCAACAAAGGCATATGGCCGTAGCGAGGGGTCTTGGATTTGGTTTCCGTAATTTGAGAAGAATTCAGTCGCGGTGTCTTGAAGATATGTGAAAGCTAGTTTACGAGGGTAGGAGCGCTCGCAGATGCACAAATAGCAGACATTCCCCTGGATAAGGTAGCTATTTTACGGTTAGTAAACGTGGGCGAGAGCTTAATGAATTAGATAATTTCAGGAGCGAGCGGGTAGGAGCGTACTGTATTGTAAAAGCACCTGCCTCAATACTAGCCCGTGGCTCGGAATTTTCGCTTAATCTTTTGAAAATAAGCTTGACTTGTTTCTTAACCTCAGCGAGAATGGCTTCATCCTGGTCGTCATCAACAGAGGCAGCCAGTGGGACGCCTAGAGAACAAAAGATTAGCAGTGCTTGAAGGAGTTGAAGGCTAGTAGATGAATCTGTGTACCGTCTAATCGTGCAATTTGAGTTGATTTCACCATCTTAAAAGCTCTGGATGCGTTCCGAAGAATTTGGGAGAAGGGAGAGCTTGGTTTAAAAAGGTGTCCTTGTTAAACAGGTGTGTCGCATTGACATTTGTTACCCGGCAATCAGCCCAACCTCATGTCATAAATATCCCGATACAAGGCGAATTAGGTATTGGTGTCTTGGCGGATGTAAACAATTCTGCTCTATAGAATTATCCCATCGCCCAGCAACATTCAGTTCACAATTTTCCATTCTACATTCCGGTTATTTTGAGGGCTACTTAAACATTGCACAACTGAAAAATTGAACAATATGGAAATTTTTTTTCCTTCTTGATACACAGAAGCAACCTCACAACAAAAAAGAGATGCAATAAATTGTACAAAAAAAAGCCTTGATTGCAATGCTAACTAACCTGGGCTCTTCTAAATGTCACAGTATCGAAACCCAAGCGCCCCAATTTTTCACATAACACTTTAGTTGTTGGCCTCCAACTCAGCCAACATCTTCTCACCCTTTGCTCGTGCGGCCTCGATGCTACCAACCATGTAGAAGGCACCCTCGGGCAGGTCATCAGCGTTACCGTTCATGATCTCGTTGAATGATCTGATGGTGTCCTTGATGTCGACCAAAGCACCCTCGATACCGGTGAAAACCTGGGCGACGGCGAATGGCTGAGAAAGGAAACGTTGCAATTTACGGGCACGCTCGACGGTGAGCTATTAAAACATTCATATTAGCATCTGATTTTATTCAGGATTGATATCAATATCATTTACCTTGTCAGCCTCAGACAATTCATCCATACCCAAAATGGCAATGATGTCCTGAAGAGACTTGTACTCCTGCAACATACGCTGAACCTTGGTGGCGGTGTTGTAGTGCTCCTCTCCGACAATCTTGGGGTCCAACATACGGGACTTGGAGTCAAGAGGGTCGACAGCAGGGTAGATACCCAACTCGGAAATACCACGGGACAACACAGTGGTGGCGTCCAAATGGGCGAAAGTGGTAGCGGGGGCAGGATCAGTCAAATCGTCAGCAGGCACGTAGACAGCCTGGACGGAGGTAATGGATCCCTTCTTGGTGGTGGTAATACGCTCCTGCATCTGACCCATGTCGACTGACAAAGTGGGCTGGTAACCGACAGCAGAAGGAATACGACCGAGCAAGGCAGACACTTCGGAACCGGCCTGGGTGAAACGGAAAATGTTGTCGATCTGGGGGAAAAGGTTAGTTCAAGGTAAAGCAATCGAAGGAGTCATTTTTTGGGAGCATACAAAGAGAAGCACATCCTGTCCTTCCTCGTCACGGAAGTACTCGGCAACGGTAAGACCAGTAAGAGCGACACGGGCACGGGCTCCGGGGGGCTCGTTCATCTGACCGAAGACCAAGGCGACCTTGGAATCACCCTCAAGTTGAATGACACCTTAAAATTTGTTAATATTCGTTGTAAATATTGCATAGGCAATGGAAGCTCACCAGTCTCCTGCATTTCGTGGTACAAATCGTTACCCTCACGAGTACGCTCTCCGACACCAGTGAACACGGAGTAACCACCGTGAGCCTTAGCAATGTTGTTAATCAACTCCTGGATGAACACAGTCTTTCCGACACCGGCACCTCCGAAGAGACCAATCTTTCCACCACGAGCATAGGGAGCGAGCAAGTCGACGACTGAAAATTTGTCAATGGATATTCTAATCCATAGTTGAACAGTGCGATATTGGCTTACCCTTAATACCAGTAACCAAGATTTCGGCAGTGGTGGACTGGTCGACGAACTCGGGAGCCTCGGCGTGAATAGAGGCGTACTTGGTGGCCTTGATGGGGCCACGCTCGTCAATGGGGTCACCAGTGACGTTCATGATACGGCCCAAAGTTCCGGGACCGACTGGGATCATGATGGGGTTGCCGGTATCGATACAGGCGCGACCACGGACAAGACCTTCGGTACCTGAACAGAGACAAATATCAGCATATGAAGATGGTAAACCAAGTCATTATCGTGCATATTTTCCCGGTCGAAACCAAACAGGATATCAATGATGCCAAGTCCACATACCGTCCATGGCAATACAACGGACAATGTTCTCTCCCAAGTGCTGGGCAACCTCCAAGACCAACTTTTGGCCGTTCTTGTCGGTGTTGAGGGCATTGAGAATAGGAGGCAATTGTTCCGAGTCGAATTTCTATTATCCATCGTGAGTTGACAATTTCTCAACATCGGTAACGTCACCCGGAATAGCCGGGTTTCGCCCGAAGAAAAATTTTCCAAAACATACCACGTCGACGACGGCACCAATAACCTGGTGAATCTTTCCTTGAAGCTGGTTTCCGGCAGCAGTAGCCATCAAACGAGATCCGAAGGTTGATTTAGGGATGGCATTGTTGCGGAGTAACGGGGCAGCTTTCAGCGAAGCCCCGACTCGCCTACCGGCAGCAAATCGAGCAAGACCGCTGAAACGAATTGAAGACATTAGCAATTGAATTTCTTAGAGGGTTTAACGATAGGAAAATGAATGTGGATACCTCTTAAACATGATGGACGGAGGAGGGGTATGTGATAGAAGGAATGAGGGGAGTGACGATGGCGGGCGGAGGGGGGAGAAAACGAAACGGGGAGATGAAGCGGCAACAGGCTGGTGGTTGGTCTCAGACTTTGCGTCCGTAAAGGCTTGGCACGGTCTTCCGGAAATACACGCAAGACAATCGCTTTGTCCTCGGAACGGTCCATGCTTTGTCCGACCGACAATGTTAGCATGTCACGATTAATTCAGAGCATCATATTAATTAATGCCGTGAATTGCAACAATTAACCCCACAATGGCATGTACTAGCCAATATTTATTCTCACGGCAGGCCCTGGTACATATAATAGGATCATCTTTATGTGATCAAGTAAGTTGAGGGAAAAGCGTACTATTAATAACCCATTGGCTGTGTAGAGTAGTAGCAACACTCTTAATATATAATATTACAAGCGGAGTGCGGCCTCCGGCCGCCCAAATGTAGTGAGGAAATGAATCTAGGTGCGGGCGGTACTGCGGTAGTAATTTCTTAGATTATTGCTGTCATTCTGGATTATTGGGTCACCCAAACGTATAGGCACGCACTAAACCTCATCTCCATCTCTCCTTATAGGTAATCTGTGATAAATTAGCTCTAGCATGCACTCTAAGTCATTCAATGAGTATAGGCTTTAGTATGTACATGTAGTTCATGATAAAATGCTATCAGGGAAATTCGACTTTGATATATAAAAATGTAGCTGTAGTTCTGTCAGTGTTTGTTCTTTTATATCTATCAATTGCAATAGCTACACGCCTTTTAATATAATGCCAGTTCCCTTTCATCTCGGGAGTAGTTCTTTGTCTAATGATATGCAACCAATATTAGAAATAGTACGCAACCAATAGAAAACGTTCCTGGTGACGATGAGGAAGACTATATAGTTTAGACGCACGGTGGACTGAAATCAAGACCCTTAGACAGCGTACGCGTGCTTACTTCTCAGAGTAGATTTAATAGTCCGGCATGATGTGCTCTCGCCCTCTGCGGTGGCGGCATCACGATGTCACTATTTTCAAGGACCAGTGAACACGCAATATCCCAAACAACCGCATATATATGTATATTAGCTACGGATACGTTTATGTTCACCAAAAGATATATGTATATTGACTACATAGCTAGACACACTCAAGGCTATCCACACGGACTCATGCATGTATATAGATTCAAATATTCCATGCAGAGCTTCAATGAATACAGTTGTAATATTGTTATAGTTTTTTTTCGAATCTAAGAAACAGATCCATAGTATATAGGCGTGTTAAATGCTTTTCGTCCTATAATCTACATCGTAAATAAGTACCAAAGGTTGGTAACATCACGGCCGCATCCGGTGCAATAATTATAGTGCCGTCTTAAATTGGGCTATGGACTTTATTCGTAATTAATGACTCATGTCATTATAACAATAACTTCATACCGCCATGGTACAGCACAAAAAAGGGAATCACCATGGTAGCGCCATAGCATTTAATGATAGGTATAGGATTAAAGCGGTATCTAGTGAAAAAAAAAAAAAAAAGACTTCAGAATCATCAAGACTATCAAGCCTTTTGAATTGTGAATTATAAAGTTTTAGATTATATGGTTTTGAATCATAAAAGATCACTCAGTGTTTGATCATGGCATACATAGCATGATAAGAGACCTTAATGATATGTACTTTAAATATCTAATCAAGACCAACCGAGCTCCTAAGTACACAGCTGATCAGAACCGTTCTACTCATCGGTTTTATTGTTATCGGTTGTATCAGTTTCACCAGGTCTCACTCGTTAATAGACGATTGTCGTTGCTGCTTTAGCAACAAGGATGGTTGTCTCGGGAAGCGGACGCCGCGCTTAAATTACTGGCGCAACCCCACACCCGGCGCATGATTCAGAGGCTCTTAAGAGTCGGCATGATCAATCTCCTATGTGAACTCCACTCAATCGTTCCAGTATTCCGATATCCCATCCGTTCGTGAAAAAACATGCTTCTCGGACGTCCTAAATTCTTAAAACAGCTCGCGGCGGGATCATCGTCTATCATTAGCACTAGAAGATGGCTATCCTATAACCCTTCCAATTTTAGCTTCGGTGGTGCTGGATATAGCTCTACAGTCGACACCAATAGCCCGACCCAGGGGCCTCTAGCTGATGCCGCGAGTGTGAAGCTCACACCAAGGTAAGCACTCGTGATTGACATTTGAGAGACCTATGGTCGACTGATTTCTTAATCAGAGCTCTGAAGCAGCACCTAGATCGGTTCGTTGTAGGCCAGTCCAGGTCAAAAAGGATATTATCCACAGCTATCTACCATCACTATAAGCGAGTAACCCAAATACGTCAGAGGCAGGAAGAGCAAGATGATCTATTGAGGTCAAGCCAGGCAATGGGTGCCCATCCGGCTGAAGGTTAGTTCGGTGGTAGTTCGGTGGTTACTTGGAGTTAGCTAGGGATGGCTGATGAAAGCTCTGTAGACGAGTATCCAGGACAGCAGAGGACAGTACATATTCCGCCGAGAGGAGATTACTTGCCGATCCATGATTACACCCCTCTTACCATTGAGAAGAGTAATGGTAATTAAAGTCTACTTATAAGCTCCTTAGGCTCTAGTAGATGCCTGACCCAATTCCATGTGCTCAGTACTCTGTCTCGGCCCAACCGGAGTGGGCAAAACCTTGATGCTACGTACCCTTGCAAGAGTACTAGAGGTTCCATTCTCAATGTGAGTGTCTTCTCAGAAGCTGCCTTTATGTTTCCGGGGCCTGACAAGTGGAGGTCCGATTGCACACCATTTACACAAGCTGGTTATGTCGGTGAGGATGCAGATATTTGTATCCATCGGTTATTAGTGGCAGCAAATTGGGACGTGGGACGGGCTGGTGCGTATACATGGTCCAACTCGACCGTGCCATAATTGACTTTCTGCGCGTCTCAGAAACCGGAATCGTCTGTCTGGACGAGTTTGATAAAATCGCTAAGCCAAAAAGCTCCCACGGAGCCAAAGATATTTCTGGCGAGGGTGTTCAGCAAGCTCTCCTCAAAATCATAGAAGGCACTACCCTTCAGATAAATACCAAACCCGAGCGTCGTCCCCCACAGGGCCTACCGCAAAACCCCATTAATGGAAGCTCTCCCTTCAACTCAGCAAGCACAGGGATGGGTGGCGGCGGTGGGAGTAGCTCAGGGAAAGGGGAAACCTTTACAGTGGATACATCAAACATTCTGTTCATCTTCACGGGTGCCTTTATAGGCATGGATAAACTGATTATTGACCGAGTCTCAAAGGGTTCTATTGGGTTCAATGCCTCGGTAAGGGGGGCATCAGCTGAAGATCTTGCTGAAGATAAAGAGTTGATGCAAAAATTTACCCCTTTCTTTCCAACTCCAGAAGAGGATGACTGGCTGGATTTAGGCGGCGAGGTCGTGAAAAAGAAAAAGAAGTTTAACCCGCTACAGATGACGGAGCCGGGAGATCTAATTAGCTTTGGCCTTATACCAGAAATTGTCGGACGTATCCCAGTCATCGCCGCCGTAGAATCACTAGATGAGGAGATGCTTGTGAGAGTTCTGACAGAACCACGAAATGCTCTTATAAAACAATACGAGCAATTATTTCAGCTCAGTGGTGTCGAGTTACGGCTCACTTCGCCAGCACTACGAGAGGTAGCTAAAGCTGCGCTTGCTATGGGGACTGGTGCCAGAGGTCTGCGGACGGTAATGGAGCGATTACTATCTGATGCTATGTTTGAATCACCTGGTATATCTACTAATATTGGCATCTTAGAGAAAGAAGATATAAACTGACCGATTGTTATACAGGCTCGAGTATCAAGCACGTTCTTGTGACCGAATCCGTAGCGCAGCGGAAGCAACCACCTCTATACTTTGCCCGCGGTCAGCAGCATAAATTCCATTCTATGATTGCAGCGGAGGAAGAAGAATGGGCCGTTAAGCAGCAGCATACCGGAAGACAATCAAGAATAACACCTTTTGAGGATGTTGTTGTTGAGAAGAAGAGAGCTACTGGTGGCCTTTGAATCACCGCTTCGCCTTACATCTTATTGTTCCAGTATGGTTTAGAAGTTTTTAGACCGGTTCCAGCGGAGAGACTGCAGAGCACAGAGGCAGGTGAGAATATAAGAATAAGTTAGGGTTTAGCTCGTAGAATTGCGGTCGGGCATCATCGACCTTTGGGCCTGAAGTGTATTTTGTCACCTACCCTCGCACCCATCCCTCGCACCCATCCCTCCGCTGAGCCAGGCTTCACAGTTCGATCGTTACCGAGCATCTATCCTTTCCTACAATATCATGAAGCGATATGTATAAATATAGTATTTTGGTGAGAGTCTCAGGAGCATTTATAAACATCATACTGTCTTTTTTTTTAAGGTTTTTCTTTTTCTCTATCTTGAAGGGGAGGGTTGCGTGGAGATTCTTAACATATGAACCAATTTTCAACGTGCAATACTTGCTTGATTATATACAAGAAAGGCTACCACTCTGGCATTCTGGATTTGAAAGATTAATAACGACTTAAGATCTGGGTGAAGAGCCAACCGCTTTGAACCTCCATCTTGCGTAGGCTAATGCGCAACGAAATGTAAGTACATAGGTTATGCCTCTGCTGTGCCTCTGCTGTTGGAAATTACGCAAACGAAGAAATTACATACATTTATGACGTTGTCACGAACTGTAAACTCATCCAGGAAACGAAGATAACGCTGTGCTGGGAATACATGCAATACCACTAAACCATACCTCAAATCGATCCATCCGACTAACAAAAGATCCATGGGTAAGTGTAAACAAAATAACCGTAATAGTGACAATCATCTCCTAAATATGTAAATAGTGTATGATTCCGTGATTATAGGTTTTCCAAACTCAATTATGCAGGCGGGTATGAAGAAAAATTCGCCGAATAAACAAGAAACTCCTTATCTTACTCCAATCCAGATGATCGCATATGATCTATACCTCGCTAAGAATGAAATAATATAATCCATACACAGACCTGCGGCTCCAAGCCAATAAACTTGGTGGAACAAAAGAAGATGTGGTGGAAGAAAAAGAAAGAAAATACAGTCACCACTAAGAGACGGAGTAAAATTACAAGATTTTACAATATTCTTAATCAGGGTTGTTTGGTGTTGACATATCTATTGAGGGGGTCTGGGTGGAGGGTTTCCTTGCTTGAAGTTTTTGGACACGAGTTCGTTGACCAACGATTCTGGATTATGAAATTCAATCTACCAACAATCAAAGTTAGATCCTGCTGTATTCAGGTTAGAAGGAATTTCCTCTTACGCAGTTGTAAACTCCTGCCTTCACAGTGGATATGCCCTCGTCCTCCGAGTGACCGATCATGAACCTCCGGTACTCAGCGCAATGCTCAAGCTGGTACATGGCAAAGGCGTCCGCGATGGTTTCGAATTCGTCACACTATTGCATCAGTTGAACAACTGTATCTTTTTCACATAAAGCGGGTTCGATTCTTACCCCATCAGCATCTTGTATCTGCAACTCGAAGGCCTCCCCTCGCCCCTTCTTATCCATCAATAACCACGCATATTTTAAGGCCCTATGTTTTAAGCAGGTTAGAATTTTGTATAATGATTGATTCTATGGACTTGTGGGCACACTTTTCAGCCTCACTGGACGGTTTCTCCAAAGCCTTGGCCTCTGCTTGAGCAAGCATTGCCCTTGAAAAACAAAGGGTCGTACTTGCAGCCTTGATTCGCTACATACTCCTCGGTTAACTTTATCCTCATTTCAATAAGATGTGACAACTGTGAGTCCAGCGAGTATAAAAAACAAACCTGGTAATTTAAAACATGGTTCATGGCGATCTCATTTTCCAAGACGAATTTGGGCGTCAACATAATCAACGTGCCGAAATTCCAAAAACGAACTGGGTGAGTTTCTATTTCTCCCGGGGAGCACGATCTCTCAAGTCTGGCTCCAAAGAAATAAAATTGCTGTTCACGACTCTTTAAGTGCCGTATATGCGGCAATAAATGTAATTGACGCCTGAGCGAAAAGTGAACCTTTAATATGGATTTCATTAGCATTATGCTACAATTTTATTAGGGGATAGAATCAAGTACACACCAACACGCAAACTTTCTCTCTAGTCGACTTGTTCGCGTACAGCGATGGAATTTGATCCACGGAATAGCTTGTTCTCCCAAGACATTTCAAGGCCGTTTCCATTTCTTCAGCCTCGGAATGTGCTACCTCTGGGCAATAAATGATGAAATTATCGCCTCCCTTTGTGTTCTGTAGTATCTCTGAGAATCTTACGCCTAAAAGCCGTTCGAGCAGAGTGTGAATGTAAAGCCCATTCATAGACTCTGGTTTCAATGCTTTTTGTATTTGTACCATAGACTCTGCAATTGAGTTTCGGATAGGTATCGGTACATCAAACGGAGGATACGCAACTGCTCGAAGAGGTGTTCGAGTTTGTTGCATCGGTGTTTTAAAGGCACCGCGAAGCTTATCATTGCTCGGCTGAAAAATGAGAAGAGAAAATCCTTCGTGAAGTACTACTCCAGCGCCGTGCGAGACGACAATAGAATTAAGGAAAGACTGCGACTTATCACGGTCCATGTCCATGTCTGCAAACTCAAATGGAACACCCAACTCCTACAACCTCAGATGGGTCCATTAGCACCTTTTCGAGAACACGATACAAATGAGACTAGCATAAACATATTGCGCTGACTTACAGGAACAAGGAAATTGGTTATATAGGCATCTTCCAAAAACCGCGATACCCAAAATCGACTGTCATTCAGTCCGTCTACAAAGCTTGTAAAGGCACTACTGAATCCAGTAAATTTGACGTGAATTGATTCCACATCGCTTGACGATCCAACCTCAAGTATACACTCGAACGTGGGTTTGACTGGGAGCTCTTTAATTGGACTAATGTCCATCTTTTTAGCACTGATAGTCTGCCCCATAGCCGTAGGGTTTTTCGAGGGTAATGGGTCTTTTACTTCGCCTGCAGCAGAAGGCCCCGCAGATACGGGTGTTTCATTGTCATCAACCATGGCAGGCTCACAATCACCTATTGGGCCCTGAAGTGGTTGGTTGGCCTCACGACCGGCTTCAGGTCCATGTGTAGCCTGATTACGTCTTGTATACCCTTCTAAGGATAATGTCTGCACTTTCAAACCATCCTCTATTCTCCTTCGTTTTTGTACTCTGGGATCCTCGTCGTTTTTCTGCAAAGCCTCTCTCTCAGGGGGCTCTACAGTTTCCTTAGTTTGCGGGGCCTCCCCAGTATTTACCTTCATCCCACCTCCAGTAGAGATTTTCCTAGGGCGTGTAATCCTAGGATTTGGATCACCAGCGTGGAATAATTCTAGGGCATTTATATCTGGAGCAGGCTCATTACGACCCCTCTTCTGTACTTTGTTTTGCTGTGATAAAGAGATGAATCCCCCTATCCTTGGCACACCAGGAATGGTGCCTGAAGCAGGAACAGGCGGCTTCGGGGGGAGATTAGGACGATTCCTTCTCGACCCACCATTAGCAGGATTAATGACAGTCCTTGAGGACCCAACAGAGCTGACTGATGCAGCTGATGCTTTTCGCTGTTGTACATCCATCATGGATAATTTAGATGCGGTTGCAGCGACACTCTTGTCCAAGTCGTTGCCCTTGTTGGCTGAGACCTTCCGTCCAGGTTTGACTGGCCTCCCATATTGTGGAAAATGAGGCTTTGGAAAGCTATAAGTTAGAATCACTATGCCTACATAAAAGAATGAGCCTTTACCTTTTTGCTGGATGGTTGATCTTCAAAAAGATGCTCTTCTGTATCTTCATCCTCACCATCATCTAGTGATCGTCGTCTTCGGTCTTTCAACCTCTGTTTCTTAGATTCTGGGGCACCTGTGTTCTTTAGTGACCTTGCTCTCGCCCTTTTCCTTTGCTCGCTTTTAGCAAGGTCTTCCATGAGCGAATCAGCACTTTCGTTGGCTTCTTCCTCGTCCGAATCTCGAGCCTTCTTCCTCGTTCGTCGTGGAATGACCTCTACTTCAAGATCAGTTTCCTCTTCAGGAGAGGCTACAATCTCGTCGTCACTGACGATAAAGTGCTTACTCCTAGCAGGGGACGCACGAGAGCCTCCACTGCTAGTTCCTCTACCTGCTCTCGACAATCTCTGTCTCTTTCTCTGTCTACGAGCCTTACGAGCATCACGGTCCTCTCTTTCTCTGTACCTGTCTTCATCCCATTGCTCCCAATCAAATGGTGAGGACGAACCGCAATTTTCATGGCGTTCTTTCATTGATTTCCACTCATTGATTGTATTTTTATCATCGAACATATCGATTGGTTCCCAGGAGGCACGCTCAATAGGGTAGCCTTCCCATTTGACGAGATATCTCATTCTATCTTCGTCTGAGAAGTATCTCTCAGCGAGGATATTTTCGACAATATAGGTGTTGTCCGGGTCCTCCTGGCTAGCCAAGGTAGACGTGAGGGAGATACTGTCATCTGAGTCGTCGTCGGAAGCAATATCGTGTTGACTGCGAAAAATGCTGGCGCTGGTAAACATTTTGCTGAAGATACGCGAGCTAACAGTGACGCGTTTTTTTTTTTTTTTTTTATATATATATATCTTACTCCTAATTGAGATTTTTGTAAATTCTTTGTTTGGCCTCCTGTAGGGGAAGATGATCCTGACAGCCCCTACCAGCTTCCAGCAGAGCGAATTTGCACTGCTGAACGAAAGATGAATCTCTTTAAGAGAGAGAGGTTGGTAACAGGAAGGTTTTGTTTGTTGCTTGGGAAGTTGAAGGAGTTTTTCTCCTATAACTCAGGATGACGCAGCGAGTAATGAATGAGGATCCAGCTGAGGCGTTTTTAGGTTTTGTCTGTGCCTCAATGTGGCGTGACAGGGTTGCAGCCCTACCAGGTAGGCCGCTGACTGATCCGGAGGGGCTAGAGACCCGGAGAGGGGCCCCCCTGGGTCCTTTCCTCTTTTAGGTCTGAGGCCGTGGCCGTGGCCGTCGGTGTGGAATTTCGGGCGGCTGCTCCTGCTGTTGCTGGCACAGCTGCTGGTTGACCTTTCTCTCCTTCGCGAGCCAACCAAACCTTAGATACAAGGCAGACGACACACCGCAGCGTGCTCAGACAACCGCTTACCGTTCCCAAGTGCAACAACTGCTTGCTACCACCCTGCGAAAGAAACAAAAGACACCCCCCATCATTCAATCACCTGCGTATTTATCTACTCAAGACTCCTAACAAAGTAAACCTGTCCGCTTCTGTTTATCGTTCTGTCCCCCTCCTATCCCACAATAACATCTTTAACCTTTTTCGCTCGGTTCTCTCCCTATCAGCTCTTGCTCACTGATCCACTCCAGTTACCATCTCACCTCGTGTCTTCACCCTCGCGCTCCAACGACAACCCCCCCCTACCCCCACTTTTTATCCACGAAGACCTCATCACCCCTCCCTAAATAAACAAAAATGGCTAATGATGAATATGATGTGAGTTATCATCATATCCTCCACCCCTGGTAAAGCTATCGTGAATACTGACGTCCCCCTCCCCCTCTTGTTTGTAGTTTCTCTTCAAAGGTACTTCCATTACTGTCTCAACCCACTCCCCTCATTTTGACCTCCCGGAGCCTCATGACGACGGCCCACATGAAGCTTCTATGACAAGCCACATTATCGAGACATGATCTTGTTTACCCATGCACCGATTCATTGATCGTCGCTTCCCCCCTCAATAAGGGTGTTTGTTAACATTGTGCCCCGCCTTCAGTTGTCCTGATTGGTGACTCCGGCGTTGGAAAGTCCAATCTGCTCAGTCGTTTCACCCGTAACGAGTTCAACCTCGACTCCAAATCCACTATCGGTGTCGAGTTTGCCACCCGTTCGATTCAGGTTGATTCCAAGACAATCAAAGCCCAGATATGGGATACTGCTGGTCAGGAGAGGTACCGGGCCATCACTTCGGCTTACTACCGAGGTGCGGTGGGCGCTCTATTGGTTTACGACATCTCGAAGCACACAACCTACGAGAATGTTACCCGCTGGCTCAAGGAGCTTAGAGATCACGCTGATAGCAATATTGTTATCATGTTGGTTGGAAATAAGAGCGATTTGAGGCATCTGAGGGCGGTACCAACAGACGACGCGAAGAACTTTGCTGGTGCGTTACAGGAGAGAGTCCGGAATGCGTGAATAAAAGATGGAACTGACCCGACGCGATGAAATAGCTGAGAACCACCTCTCGTTCATTGAGACTTCTGCGCTCGATGCCAGCAACGTTGAGCTTGCTTTCCAGAACATTTTAACAGGTATATAAATAACACCACTTAGAACTCCCCTCCCCCGCGCTGCGATACCGAGGCTAAATTTATCTAAGAAATTTACCGAATTGTCTCAAGCAAAGCACTTGATGGTGGCGATGCGCACCCGGTACCCCCTGTCGGTGGTAGCCAGCCCATCATAATCAGCAACTCTGCCGATGCCCCTTCAAAGGACGGAAAGTGCTGTTGATCTGAATTTGAAATGATTTTTATGTCTAGGTATGAATAGCAAGACCAGATATATGTTAGTAGTTGGCGTGTTTGACCTTGGCTTTATTTCTGTTTTTTTTTTTTCTTTCTTAAACTTCTCTGTACGTACACTACAAACGCGTGGTTTGAAGAGTGATCAAAGAGAGATTGGCATAGACTGAGCAAGCTAGGTCAGAAGGTCACGATGGATATGATGTATCTGATGGAATGATGCTCTTATACTCTGGGCGTCGGTCGTCTTTGCTTTTTTTCCTTTTTTTCATCTTTCTTTTTCATTCTACTATTTTTATTTACCTTTATTTTTGTCGACCCAAATCTGCTTGGTTTCTCATGTGCCTAATTTTCTTTTTACTTTTCCTGCCTGTCCTTTGTGTTCCATTATTTATGCCCTGACCTATCCTGGCTAGTAATGTTGAAGTTTGGAAAGTAATGAAACATGTGTAATCGTTCCCTTCAATGCTCAGAGCGAACGCACGTCATGTGGTTGCATGGCGGCTCATGATCGGGCTCATCAATTGTAGGCACATAATGGTAAAGGCGTGGCATTCGTTCTTTGTACGGCATCTCCGCACCACCGGCTATGACCAGCACATGAATTGTTTTATAAAACAGTGGTAACAAGAAATAAAAATAAAAATAGGAAGTAATGAACAAAACATGCCATTTAATACAGCCAGAAAGCAAAGCAGAAAGAAAGAAAAAAAAGTCCTCCACAAAACAGAAAACTAAAAGCATTAAAAGAGCCAAACATACCAGAATGTGAAGACCACCGCACAGATGAACAGCAGCCACGCCTTCCATCCCACGCCCGTCCGCTTCGCCATGCGCATCATGTTGCTCATTGTCCCGCGCAGCTTTGCGCGCGTGTTGTCGAACGAATCATTCATCGATGCCATCAGCGTCGACGAAGACCGCACCTCCTCCCCAATCGCCTCCGTAATCTACAGCACACACACACCAAACGTCAGCCACAGCCACCACAACCACCACCACCACCACCACCGTCATTCATAATCATTAAGCTTTCTTTTGCCCCCCCCCCCCCGAACAATCCGTAGAATAGAAGAAGGGAACCCACATCTTTCAACATCTTGACCTTGGCGCTCAGACCCTCGACCTGCGCATCATTCTGGCTCTCGAGCTCCTCGAGCACGCTGGCGCTGTACTGGCCACGGGCGTTTGGAGTCGCGGGACGGTATGCGCTCGCGACACGGGGCGAGGCTGACCCCCCACGGCCGTCGCCGGGATAGCCGTAGCCGTAGCCGTAGCTAGAGCCGCCGGCGTTGTCGAAGAGCTGTGAGCGCGCATCTCGCTGGTGGAGGTGCCCGCCGCCGTATCTTGGATTGTGATGGTGAGTTTTTTTTATGTACATTTCCATATTATTACATGTTTGGCGCAAACTTACCTGGAGGACATGGTTATCTTGCTCTTTCTCTCTCTCTCTCTCTCTCTCTTTCTTCTCGTCTGTTTTCTTTTTCTCCCCCGTCCGGCTGTCCGTCCGTTTGCGAGCTGTGGAATGGGAGGTTTCGACCGTCTGTATGGCCGGGTGTGGGTTTAAGGTTGGAGGACAGGTATGTATCGACAGTCTGGCTGTCGGGGGGAACAGCTGCAGGGGTGGTCACGTGATGTGATGGGTGGCGTGTGGAGCTCTGAGGCTAGCAGGGATGGAATGGATGGCCGGGGGCGATGAGGAGAAGAATCACTGCTGCTGCTTCTGCTGGGGGGAGGGGGAGATGTGTAGAATAGGGTAAGCAGGTACAGTATGTATTATGTAGAATGCTGTAGGTACTATATATATGTCTGCGCCGGTCGGTGATGGAGAAGAAAAAAGTCACTATATATGGGTTCCAGTCGAGGGGCATATGTTGGATTACTATGCGTTGTTCTGCGCTGCGGCTGGGAATGGGGGATTATGGGCGTGACTGCATCTTGATGCAACCAATGTGGTGGTGGTCCGCCACGGCTTGAAAGATTTGTTTTGTAGAAACCTACTTTACTTGCGCTTTCTTGAGTTTCAGAGTTTGAAAGTGCATTCAATGGGATTGGTTAGTGAGCTAGCATGGGGGGCCGAGTGATGGCTCGTGATAGATATACAAGGCACCACCCACCCACCGCTCCCCACACCCCGGCGGGCCCGGCCGGGTGTGTTTCGGTTCACCGTGAGACAGTGGTGGTTTGGGATAGAGGGGCCACCGGATCGGAGCGGTTCCCGAGGTTGGCTTTTGTGTTCGGTGGGATCGATGTTGAGAGCGGCGCGGCTGAGTTGAAGTGTATAGTGGTTGTAGGAATAAATATCATTTCCACCGTGCCGGCGGCGAGGACTTTGTTTACTAATTATAATATATGCCTCTACCCCAGCTAGCTCATCATAAGCTCAAAAGGCTCTACGAGGGCGAGTAGGTTGAATTCATCCCGGGTGTACGTCTTATATACACATAGTCCTACCTAAGCTGGTTCTTCATTCTTGCGTCGAAAGCAACACCAGTTAGCCGCCTGCGCGCTGCCAAAATAGAATTATACCATATCGCCCGCCTCCATCACAACCCATCACTCGACGAAATTGCCCAGCACCATTGCCGAGACCAATTGTTATTCATTCAGCTCATTCGTAGAGTCCAACCCCCCAAAGCTCCCATAACCGGCATAAACCGCCCAAAAATTCCAACCATGCCCTCCTTACTTCCTCCTCCCGAAGCCAAGCAGCAACACCCCCTTGCTTCGCGCGGCGGCCTACATATACACAAGCGGCCGCTGTTCGCGCCCTACGCTGCCCCATATATCGGCAAACGTACACCAATGGCCATCTACACCGTCAATGTCAACACGTATCATAGCAACCGCGCACGCTTCGAGGCGGAGGCGGCCGAGTCGGCGCTGGTGTAAGTTTTGCCCTTCTTGTGGTGTTGATTGCGGTGGTGTTGCGGAGCGGCTGACGGTGGGTGGGGGGACGTAGGAAGGAGCAGATGGCGTGGGTGCTGTATAAGAACAAGTATGAGAAGTGTGGGAAGTGTGGGTCGTGGGGGAGGAGGTTGGAAACGTGTGAGGGGGGGTGTCGGGCGGCGCAGGAGGAGGAGGTACTGCGGAGGGGGAAGGGGAAGGAGGGTGGGGAGGGGGCCAAGGGAGTGGTCACTAGGAGGGCCTAGGGATGGTAATAAGTAAGGCTTTGTAGCTGGCCGAAAAGGTTATAGGATAGGTTTAATTGGAGTTGGAGTCTGTTGAAAGGATTTCGCTGTCTTTTGTGTCGGTGGCTTTTATAGTGATAGATCTTCGAGAGTTATGCTGGTCGTTGAGAAGATATAGCCAATATACAACCAAATCATGACACAAGGTTATAAGGAAATTATGTTCATATGTATTTTTACTGATAGGCGTTATTATATATACCGAGAAAGTGTGTGCACCATCTAGTTGGAGTGGCAAAGTTCTTATCCGAAACATAATTGTCATCTCGTGCTGCTTTCTAATTCCTGTCTATAGACGGCTGATATAATCACTCATAACTTGAGCTTGACAATATTTCAAAAGTCATCACCTGCAATACCAAATGCCAGGACGAAAGAAACCTTGCAAACGGTGGGTGCTCGTGTGCATTAGCTCAATCATGAAAGTCGATACATGTATGTGCGAGCACACTAGGAAGGCCCGGGGCCTGTTGGGAGCTGTTACTGTAAGCTGGAAGGGGAAATGCTCCAAGGCTCGGACCATGAAGGTGAAAGAATTAAATAGGGTTGGGAACCTTCTAGGCTGTAAATTCTGAACTTTCCCACGTCGGTCCTGGAACATCCACAGTTGTACAATGCAGACAAGAGAAGGAAGTAATTCGTAAGCGATTCGAAGAGCGTACGATCTAAAACCCTCAGCACAGGTGTCTTCCGCATGTGCAAGTAAAATTTCTCATTCCTGGAAAACGACATCTTAGGCTTCATATATCCACCAAACTGATCTGGACTGATAATACAAATTGAGATAGATGTCATGGCCGGCTCGGTATGTGACACAGAGGTTGGTACCAAACTTGTAAGGTGATCTTAGTAACGGTTTCCATAGTCTAGCCTATAACTAGACGTGTCACCTTTACACATATGTATAAGTAGAGAGGCTTTCATCCTCATTCGTAATAGAACCATCCGTCCTATTGAGCCTTCCTACAAAACTTTGTGATTGAGACGCGGGCTATTAACGAACATTCGCAGATATCAGGCGCCTAGGAATTCAGTGGTTAAGCTAGATCTAGAACATAATCCTCTAAGCATTACCATATCCCCCGACGGACCTTGGCATACATAAACACACCTTCGAAATGAGTTGTCTATCCACTTCTAACAGCAAGATTATATGCCAAGCCTCGCTGAAATATTATAGTCTCTGAATCGATACACCCACTCCTCCCCGCACGGAGGTGCACGTATGATAGACCGCCGCCGTTTAACCTCAATTTCAACTCCGCCTCGCTTTAAAAGGTCACACAGAGTAGAATTCAACGAACAGAAATATCCGGGAGTAGCAGGAGCTCTGTAATGGAAGTCTTTGTCCAATCAACTCTAATCAATGCCGAACATGTGGAATGAGGCCATGATATTTAGTAATGAAAAAGTTGCACTTTCAACTTCCAAAGAGCTCTCTACCTCAGCGCTTCTCTTGATCGACTCTGATTACGCAGAATATCTCAAATGTTCACCCACGAGTGGTGGTCGGCTTTTCCTCTACCTACTGTGTGTTGGGTGTGTACCATCATGCGTTATCACTCGCACGTCCAATTCACCACCACCATAAATAAGGTCACTCTTTCAGTCTACCCATGCTCCATATATGCGGAGGAAAGGCATAAGACACACAATACCGAAACAACTCAGGGGTGATCAAGATGCATAGATGTGCGGAGTCTGGACATGAAGTTAGACACTTATTCATGGAGAATCACTCGGTGGGCTAGGTTAGCAGTTCTGACGAAGTACATATCCCGGGATATATAGTCACTTTGTGAAAACGCTTTATAATAAGAGCAACAACTACATGAAGTCTATGAACGAAGTAGTGTGTCTTCCACGGAACGCTGCGAGGAGGCAATAGTGCCATTCGCCCTTGAGTTTGGTCTTACCAGATGAGGGATGTGGACTTTTGGGTGCCGTGCGGTGGTGAATTGAGTGCGTGGCTTAATGATACGTCAACCCAACGAAGACGCCATGCGTATAATCATATACGCATTGCAAGATACAGAGAGCAACATGGGAAGACATCAACTCATCAATATAACTTCCGTCCTGGTTCTAAAAGCCATCACTCCCAATGGGATAGATGATGCTATTGCCCTTCTTCATCCATCTCATCTAGTATTCGAGGTACGGATGTCTTCAGAAGCTTGAGGTTATACCTCGTAGCATTGCGATGCTGTGGCTAGTTTATCTCAGCGCCTCTTCATTGTCTATGATACTTTCATTGGCCAGAATCTGTGTGACAAAAGTACGATGTGATCGAAGGGTGAATTGTATAAATGATGTACTTGTGAGCGAGTACTCGGTGTCCTCCGCAACAACAAATTGCCTACATATATCATGATTGCAACGATGATCACGGCACAAACTGTAAGGATAGATACCGAGAACACTGTATAATCCTTAGCTAGAAGAGAACACTCGGCGTTGTACAAGTGGTGTAGATATATCCCAGTTAGAGACGGGACTCTTCCCTGGGACTCATAATCAAGTCAACTATCAAACTATACGTGACTTTCACAAACCTCCTGTAGAGATACTTCTTGCAAGGTGCCACAGAAGCAATACCCCTGCATGCGTCCCGTCGATCGCCACCAAAAGCGGAAATCGCTAGTCAGCAAGACCATTTTCCCATTCGCGAACCCCCAGCGCGCGCTCACACCGAACATCCCCAGAAAACATCGCCAGCAACAACCCCCCCCCCCATACACCTCCACACGCCGTCACTCGCGCGCAATCAACCATGGGCGACCCCTCCGCATCGGTCTCGCCGCAGCTGCTGCACCACCTGCACGCGGTGTGCGTGATGAAGTACCCCATCTACCAGAGCATCCAGCCCGAGCACCTGATCGACCTGCTCCTCAAGGCGCCCACGGTCGTGCAGCAGTACCCGTTCACGTGGACCATGATCGAGCCGCCGCCGGCGGGCACGCTGATGCTGTCGTGGCATCCGCCGCAGATGGGCACGGGCTGTGCGTCGGACGGGTATGTGTGGGCGGACCCGGAGAATGTGCATACGGTGGATGTCAAGGGCTATGTTTGTTCTCCCGCTTCTTTCCTTTTCTATGATTGTGCCCTTTTCGTTTCTCGATCTTGGTTTTGTTTCTTCTTTGTTGGGGGCGAAGAGGAGGAGGAGGAGGAGGAGGAGGAGGAGGGGGAGAGTGCGTTTGGTTTGTTTGTGTGGCCCATTCATTGCGGGCGATGCGTCGTTCTGTCGACTGCTTTCGTTGCAGAGTTTCCCTCGCCCTTCTTCTTTCTTTCTGCTCCTGCGGCTTCCCCGGCGGTTGCGTGTGTGTGTGTCGCGCTGTTTTCTCGCGTTCAGGGCTGGCGGGGAGGCGCGCGGTTCAATTGTTGAGCGAGCGTGTGCGGAGCGGCGTCGGTGTCGGTGTCGGTGTCGGTGTCGGTGTCGATCGGGCATGGGCATGGGCATGGGCATGGGCATTCGTTGTCTACCGTTGCAAGCAGCACCGGGCTGCCTGCCCGCCCGCCTCGCGTTGTTGTTTCTTCTTCTGTTTCTTCTTCTGTTTCTTCTTCTGTTTCTTCTTCTGCTCCCTCCTATTCTCCTCCCCTCCCCCCCCCCCACCGTAGAACGACGTCGTCGCATCCATCTGCATCTACATCTACATCTGCATTGCAATCCAATCACAATTACATCCTTACATCTTGCCCACGTCTGAGCACTGCCCGGCTAACACATAAATAGCAAGTGGAAATCTACTATCACAAGGCCGGCTTCAACCCCAATCCCAACCTCCAGGCCGTCCAGTCCCACGCCCTCTTCTCGCGTCGCTGCTACCGCCTGAAGCCCTCCGCCCCCACGTCCCCCCCAGAAACCCACAACTTCTGGCTCCTCCACTACCTCAACGCCGAGCGTCAGAACCAGGTCCCCATCGCCAGCATCCCAATCACACAGGGCGCGCGCCAGTCCTTCTCCGCCCGCTCCTACATCGCACAGCTCTTCGCCGCCGGCCAGCTCCCCCGCAAGGAATTCTATCTCGGCGACCCCAGCACCTGGCCCATGATTACCCTCCCCAACCAGCAGCAGCAGCAGCAGCAGCAGCAGCAGCAACAGCAGCCGCTGCCCCCACAGACGCCGCAGTCCGCCCGCCCAATGCCCCCCCGCGGCACACCCATGCAGAACGCCCCGCCCCCGCAACAACCAGGCGGCTACTACACCCCGACCCCCACCCGCCCCGCGCCCCCCAAGCCCGCGCCGCCATCCGCAAAGCGCCTCAAGCCCACGCCACCAACCCACCCCCAGGCCGCCGTGGACCCCGGCATGACAATCGACGAGGAGGAGGACACCTCCCGCGGCGACATGCTCGACCACCTCTCGCCGCGCGAGATCGCAACAACACGCTACATCCAGCACCACGAGTGGATGGAAGAGGTGCTCGGCAGCGTCTACAGCATCTCCCGCATCAAGCCCGTCGACCTCGGCCTCGGCCTCCGCGGCGAGCTCGAAAGCGTCACCATGGGCCTCCTCGACCCCCCCGTCTACCCCCCCACCCCCGCAACCAACAAGGACGCCCCCGAGGAAAAGGACCAGCAGGCCATCCTGGAGCAGTTCCGCCCGCGCGTCGAGCAGAAGATTGCCGACATCGAGGCCGAGATCAAGCACATGGAGGCCCTGCACGCCGCGCGCCTCAACAAGATCTCCAAGAGCGGCATCGCGAAAGAGGCGGAGCTCCGCCTCCGCAGCACCATGGCGCCCCCGCCCCCGCCCCCGACCCCCACCCCCGACTCCGCCGCCGCAGAGGAGGGCGCCCCCGACCCGGTCCTTGCGCAGCTGCAGAGCGCAGACGTCGACACGCGCGCCATGGACGCCGTTGTCGCTGAGGTCGAGGGCGCAATTGGCAAGAAGGTCATCGAGAAGCAGATGCTCGTCAAGTGGGATCTCCCCGTCGACGAGATCGTCAAGATGGGCGGCGTGGTGGCTGAAGGCAACAGCGGGCTCGACACCGTCATGGCCGGCGGCAGCGGCAGCGGCAGCAGCGGCGAAGACGCAAAAGCCGGTAGCTCCGGCTCGGCGGCGGGCGCAGAGGGGGATGAGTTTGCGGCGCTGGACATGGGCGTTGGCGCGGACGCGGGCGCGGGCGGCGAGACGGCGTTTCAGGGTGAGGGCGGCGCGGCAGGCGAGGCGCTGGCCGGCGTGGATACGATCATGGACGACTTTATGAATGTGGACTCGAAGCCGGACACGCCGGCGGGGGAGAAGAAGGACGCGAGTGTGGACGGGAATCCGGATGATGGGTTTACGTTTGATGCTGGCGATGATAAGGACGGGATCAATAGTGGCATGCCGAGTTTGGAGCTCTTGGGCGGTGCTGACGATACTGACCTGTAGGTCTGTCTGGCTGGCTGGCTGGTAGCTAGGTAGGCGGGGTGTAAAAGCTTTAGGGGTCTATAAATTTTTTTCTTTCCATTTTCGTTTTTCAATGGGTGTTTGTTCCTTTTTTGTGCTTCATTATTTTTTTTTTTTTTTTTTTTTTTTACTTTTGTACTCTCTCAATCGCGAGTGTGCTATGGTTTAGGTACGTGGTAATTAAAGCGGAACCAAAGAAAGTGTATGATAATTCGGGCGATGGCTTTTATGGTATTCTCTTGGTCCCAGTCTTGTTTCTCTGTGAAGTGCTAGAGTAGATGGTAGGTACAGCAAAACCTATCATAATTATAATTCCACCCCCGTGGTGGCCGAATTCCGCTGAAATTATCGTAGGGATGGAATTTAGAGAGAGGCCTTTGTTAGCAAACTACAGGTATCGTTCCCTCCAACCGCTGGAAGTTCGGTAGGGATAGAATTTCGAGAGGGTGGAATTATGATAGGTTTCTCTGTAAATGTATTTACAATTTTTTTGATTTGGGTGAAGTTGGAGGTTATGAAACAGCCAACCGCCCGTGCACCCCTCTCACCCCTCCCAGCCAGGCACACATCCACACCGCCTAAGCGAGTGATCGCCTATGCTTGGCTTTCACCCTCAAAGCCACAAGAGTAATATTTCAAGCCCCCGGTCGCGCAATTGGTGATCCCCGCATAATGGGGATCTACCGTGAACGTGCACGTGGGGTTAGATAACGCCCCCCCACCACCAATATAAAAAATTATATACATCATGTATGCTTATGGTGGAGGTCAGCTTTTTTCATTCCTTTTTTGCTACGGTATGTCCCATCACTGGAAAACCCGGGAATTGAAACAAAAATAAGGAGAGAAAAGGAAAAAAGAGAAGGTCCAGTCGGGACCCTGCTCATCTGAATTGGGCAAGAGAAAAAACTCACCTTCTCCCCCGGCTGGTGAGCTGAGACAGGAAGTGAAGTTACAATTCCATTCAACGATAACGCCATCTCCCCGGCGACCTTATGATTTATCACACCATGTTATAACGTCAGCTGGGCTGGGGGCAGAGTTATTATTTCATAATAGACTTTGCCAACCCCAACCCAACCCCCGATGGCGTGCCCGAGAAGAAGTGTGAAGAAAAAAAAGTTTTAATAGAACTTAGAGCCATTACTACCCCGCACTAGCAGTGCTTGGTGGGCTTCTTAGCTCGCCATATAAGGTGTTGTTTGTTTCCTTTGTTCTCATCCCTTGCTCATCGATACCACCAACCATCGCCTTTTCTTTTCTCAACGACTTTAGAGACTATACCGCCGCTATACAATTAGACATGTCGCGCTTTGAAACTCTCTGCTTGCACGCTGGGTATGTTGTTTTGCACCCACTAACTGCCTCTCTCCGAGTTGTGAGGAAGAGGCTCTTTAGCTGCTACCAGTGGCTGACTTGAGCGAAAATCTGTAGCCAAGACGTCGACCCGGCGACGAACTCGCGCGCGGTCCCTATCTACGCTACCTCAGTATGTGCAAACCAAACCGTGATATTATATATATGTTTCAACTCAATTGGGAGAATTGGAGATTTCTGACAACTGTTTTCGGGGTGTATTAGTCGTATGTTTTCAACGATGCAGCTCATGCCGCCCGTTTGTTCGGGCTCAAGGAGTTTGGTAACATCTACTCCCGTATCATGAACGTAATTGCGCCCTAGATTCTCTTTCAATTGTTTGAATGGAATTGACTAAATTTCCATATGTATAGCCCACTGTCGATGTCTTCGAGAAGAGGATCGCAGCTCTCGAGGGTGGTGTCGCCGCCGTCGCCGCCTCCTCCGGACAGTCCGCTCAATTCATGGCCATCGCCGCCCTCTGCCATGCCGGCGACAACATTGTGTCCACCTCTTACATGTACGGCGGAACCTACAACCAGTTCAAGGTCTTCCTTCCCCGCCTCGGCATAACCACAAAGTTCGTCCAGGGCGACAAGGCCGAGGACTTTGCTGCGGCCATTGACGACAACACAAAGATGATCTACATCGAGTCGATTGGAAACCCAAAGTACAACATCCCCGACTTTGAGGCTATTGCAAAGGTTGCTCATGACCACGGTATTCCGTTGGTTGTGGACAACACCTTTGGCGCTGGTGGTTTCCTTGTCAGGCCTATTGAGCATGGTATATCACTCATTCCTACCGGCACTAGGCGTCGTGTAGTTGTTTGCGTACTGACAAATAAACAGGTGCCGACATTGTCGTCAACTCTGCCACAAAGTGGATCGGTGGACACGGCACCACCATCGCCGGTGTCGTCGTCGACTCTGGAAAGTTCGACTGGGGAAAGAATGCCAAGAGATTTCCCCAGTTCGTCGAGCCCTCTGAGGGATACCACGGCCTCAAGTTCTGGGAGACTTTCGGCCCTATTTCTTTTGCTATCCGCGTCCGTGTTGAGGTTCTCCGTGATTTGGGATCTTGCCTCAACCCGTTCGGTGCGTTCCAGCTCATCCAGGGTCTTGAAACTTTGTCTTTGAGGGTTGAGCGCCATGTCAGCAACGCATTGAGCCTTGCTAGGTGGTTGGAGAAGCATGATAAGGTTTCATGGGTCTCTTACCCCGGACTCGAGAGCCACCCTAGCCACGAACTGGCCAAGAAGTACCTCAAGAGGGGTTTCGGTGGTGTCCTGTCTTTTGGTGCCAAGGGCGGTGAGAAAGCTGGTATCACTATCGTCAACAACCTGAAGCTCGCCTCTCTCCTCGCCAACGTTGGTGATGCCAAGTAAGTTGAAAACCTCCCCGAAAAAAGAAAATTTTGGTGGGAACAGTATCTAACCACAGGAACTCTCCGGCAGGACCCTCGTCATTCACCCCGCATCAACAACCCACGAGCAGCTCACTAAAGAGGAGCAGGTCTCCTCGGGAGTGTCAGAGGACCTGATCCGTGTCTCTGTTGGAATTGAGCACATTGATGACATCATTGAGGATTTCGTCCAGGCATTTGCAAAGGTTGACGCCGACAGCAGCAATGAGGGCAATAAGACTGTCACTGTTAATGCTGGCAAGGCTCCTGCCACCACTGAGGTTTAAGGGAGGCCGAGTGGTAATTGATTACACTTTGTATTTATTTCTCTGATAAGGAGGGTGGCTGGTTCCTCTTTCCTTTTGTTTAACTCCCCCCCCCCCGGTCTCGGCATGGAGTGTGGAGGCTGGTATTAAAACCTTTATGGCGTTTTGAATTATTTTGTTAAATAGAGCACCCCCCCCCCAACAATTAGCTATCGATCTCTGGTCTGATGTGGGGTGACATGTCCGGGGTGTGTGTGGGGGGGGGGGGGGGAGCTATCAGTTCATAGCTGTATTTGTTCGTTTTTCCTTCCTGTTTTTCTTCTTTCATTTCCCCTTTCAGGATATGGTACTCTATGTGGTGTTAGCTTCTGCTCTGCTGCCTCAATGGCTAAAGGAAACATCTCCGCACCTTTCCTTTTTTCCCTGCATACCATCTCAAAAAAGAAGATTGTGGAGATAAGATCGGTTGATTGTCCAACGATGTGACACCCTTATCTACTCTACCTGTTACCTGCACGCACTGCAGCCCCCGATTTGATCGAATGCTTAAAACCACCCAATACCGGGTTGACAGCCTGCAGTTTCTGATGACAGATCGGAAAGGCTAGCTCAACCTCAAGCGGAAAAGGATGCGGCGGCATGGAAAAAGGCATTCGAGATTGCGGGAGGGTGAAAGAGATCTTGATTGGGACATTGGTAGATACGTATATTCTGGCCACCTACATATTGATTGTGACATGCTGTACGTACTCTATTCCAACCACCCTTTGCTCTATGATTAGCCACGAAGCACTCCCTAAAATCCAAACCTCCAGTTTTACTGGCATCCAGCCCCTCCCCAGATCGTTGAGGGTTTTTATTAGAATCTGCGGAGAAATTCTGTTTTTCTGAGGAAGGCAGGCCTATCCGTTGGAGTGGTTCGCCGGTTCGGCCCGCGCCGAGCCTTTTTTTGGTGAACCTCAGAAGGAACGAGTGATTATTCATGATTCAAGGGTGTAGCCAACCAGATCTCTAGAGAAGCTTATCGATGAGCCTTGTGCTCGTTGATTGATTCCCCGGATTTGAAACCTTGGCATCAGTTCCATATTGCCCGATCCCACGTGGTGTAGGCCTGGTCCACTGCCTACCGACATATCTGCCCCGCCTACCCCACTACATGTGCTTGTGCTTATGCTTACCCCACCATGATTTTTGGAGAGTAGAGATATATGCGAATAGATGAATTAGGAGGTATGAATATATATCGTACATACACTACATTGTAATTTTGCTTTATACAACCCTAGGCTGAGGCAAAGCAGCTAATCTAGGGAATAAGAGTAACAATAGAGCAAGGGCCTGGGGAGGGGGGCGGATTTTGAGTTCCCCACAAGCCAGAGCGCAGAAAAAAGTAAAAAAAAAAAAAAAAAAAAAAAGCAGAAATAAGAAACAACTTCCCAAGTTCCCCCTTCTCTAATCCCAATCGTGAAATCATTGAGTCGTCCGTTATCCGTACCTGTCGTATATATCGTAAAAGCAAGAAAATACGAAAATAAAAAAAGAAATGAAAACATTACCCCAACCTTTAAAAAAACAAGTACTTGAAAGATACACCCACCCTTGAAAATGCGTTTTAAGAATCAAACTCCGTGAAAAAAGTGAAAAAGCTCTCTTGCTAGAAAAGAGAAACGAAAAAAAAAAAATTAGAAATCGAAAAACTCCGTAATTACCCCCCACCCCCCCCCCCAATTGCGCCTTGATTACATGCAACACGCCTTGATACCTTGCTGTTGGGTCGTCTGAACCGCGATCGAGTCGGTAGAGTTGTCGTCAACAATCAATATCGACTTTCTGCGGTCGCCATCGTGACTTTGCGGAACTTCAGTGACGAAGCTGGAGACAAGGCCACCCTTCTTGTAGAGAATAGATGTTTGGTTTTTGGCCGACGGGACATCAATCGCCGGGTTTTTGGAGAAG